ATATCTTAGGCTCTATGAATGTGAAGTTGGTTTGGATTCCTAGGGAGCAATATTTTGTTGCTGATATCCTAGCAAAAGTTGGTTTGGATTTCTTGTTTAATGACAGTTGTTTGCCTTTGTAATCCTGCCAAGCCATTCTTGGCTTCAGTACATCCCCTCATGTACTTCTGTTTGTTTCTTCTTCAATAAAAAGTTACCTTTGCTTCAAAAAAAAAAATATACTACCAGCCTAGTTGGCTATAAGCCTCTAGCTTCATGTGTCCGTGCCTAGAGAAGAGGATACCCTTTCCTGGAGTTCCCTTCAAGTAACACAACCCGTTCTGCAGCAGCCATATGTGTGTCTCTAGGGGCATGCATAAATTGACTAATTACACTGACAACATAAGAAAAATCTGGCTATGTGATGCAGAGGTATAGTAACTTCCCCAAAAGTCTCTAGAACACTCCCATGTCTGCAAAGAGCTCACCATCATCAACTGAGAGCTTATGGTTGGAATCAATGGGTGTAGAAGCAGATTTGGCAACAAGTTTCCCAGTCTCCATAAGAAGATCTAATACATACTTCCATTAGGAGATGAAGATGCCATCTTTACACCTAGCAACTTCGATTCCCAAGAAAAATCTAAACTCCCGATCTCCCCTAAATTTCCTTACCATACATACCTTGCCCTACATTTCCTTACCATACATACCTAGGGGAATTGACATCTAAACCTCTTTAGTCAAATCTCCATTTAAGAAAGCATTTTTAACATCAAACTAATATAATGGCCAAGTATAACTCACTACCAAGGACAATAGAATTCTCACTAAGGTCATTTTTGCAACTAGTGAGAAGGTCTATAAAATCAATTCCATACACCTAAGTATACCCTTGGCTACTAGCCGAGCCTTATACCTCTCAATGGTTCCATCAACATGATACTTGATTGTGAACACCCTCTTACATCCCATTGGTTTCTTCCAGGCAAATCCACAATATCCCAGATATTATTGTTGCGAAGTGCTTCTACTTTAGTTCTCATAGCCTTCCTCAATCCAAGTCTATAAAGGAAGGTTCTGGAGTAGGTGGAAATGACTTGTCCTCTCTTTAGGAGTTGGGAGTGTTTAGGGTCCAACCTGTTCATGTCGTAACTTTTGTCTTTGTACCACCTCTGAACAAGAGGATGAGTAGTGAAAACTGGAGGACTAGCAAGTGGAGGAGGAGTAGGAATGGAAGAACCGAGGGATCCGAGGGATGAGGACTTTACCAATGAGACAAAAGAAACCATAGGGGATTCAATCTAAAGGTCGACAGGAAAAGGCAGAGGAAGTGGCTAAGCAAACAAGTCAATGGAATGCTCCCCTTAAAGAATGACCACAAAAAGGAACTGACTCTACAAAGGTGGCACCAATGGAGACAAAATGAATGTCACTAGTGGAATCAAAACAACAATAACCCTTTTGTGTGGAGGCAAACCCTAGAAAAATACACTTTAGACCCTTGTGTTCAAACTTATGTCTTTGAGAGCTAGGAAGATGAACATAACATGTGCAACTACAGATATGCAAAGGAATAGGAAACATTTCACCCTCAGGGAACAAGACAATAAAGGGAGAATTGAACTCCAAGATTCGAGAAGGCATGTGGTTAATATGATAGGTAGTTGTCATAACTGCATCACCCCAAAATCTCGAAAAGGATGCTCTTGGCTACTTCAAGAACATGTCAATTCTTTCTCTCTACCACTCCATTCTACTCTAGAGTGTGGGGATAGGAACTCTAATGTATAACCCCAAACCTCTCAAAATATGAAACAAGATCTTTCTCAAAATATTCCTTAGCTTGTCTGATCGGAATATCTTGATGCATATATCAAATTGGATAAGTACAAATTCACGAAATTGCTTCACAAGTTTGGGTACTTCAGCACAAGAACGCATAAGGTAAAGCTAGGTATAACGTGAAAAATTATCAATAAACAAAATAAAGTATTTAACCTCACATGCAAGGTAAATGGTATGACCCCCACTCATCAAAGTGAACAATATGAAAAGGAATTGTGGGTCTTTTATTACTTGCAAGATAAGAGTTTCTACAATACTTTGACAACTTACATGACTCACAATGTAGGCTTGACAACTTAATTTCCTTAAACAAAGCTAGAAACAAAAGACTCAATAAAAAAAAAACGAAATATGAGCTAAACGATAATGACATAACATAATATGACTGATTGACTCTGGCACATTTGAACCAGAAGCAACTTCCTGAGGTGATACTTGACTTTGTTCAGGCATATCCAATGGGTATATCCCATTCGCCTCATGGCCACTCTCAATCACCTTCAGAGATTTCATGTTCTGAAAAACATAGAAGGGAAAAAGGCTACACTATAGTTCAATATTTTTCTCAAATTACTAATTGAAAGCAAGTTAGTATTTAGTTTAGGAACATGAAGGACTAAAAATAAGGTAAGGGTATCTAAAGCTCTGATATTTCCCTTTCTCAAGATAGGGGCAAGGGAGCATCAACAAGGGAGATCTTGTCTCAGATAGATAAAATCTAATAAGTAGAAAATAAATGAGACACACTAGTCATACGGTCAAAGGCACCATAATCGATTATCCAAGGGATCCTACAATTACCTGAGATAAAAGCATGGTTCGTAGTAGCACGAATACTTGAATCGTCATAGGTATTCCTCATTTCCTGAAAAGATATTAGTTGCAATAGTAGACTCTAAGTGGTTGATGAGTTGTCCATACTTCTCATACTATGCTCTAGCAACAGCAAGTTGTTCCCCCACTGATTTCTTATCACTAGAACCCTTTTTAACCTCAGAAGATGTGGCTACATTGACATTTCCATTCTTCCCAGTCCCACTCTTATTACTATTATTATTGTTCTTGAATCTAGGAAGTATAACCTCTGGATGTAGCTTCTAGTAGATATCCTTTGTGTGCTTAGGTTTCTTGCGATACTCACATACTACATCTTTCTTCATCCAACATTGGCAAAGTGATCTTTTGAAACTTCCATAACCTGCACTGGTCTCTGACTCTCCACACTATTAACCATGGCATAGGTTTGGGATAAGGTCACTTTGTCTTTCGTTAGAATATTTTGTCTAACAATATCATACTTGGGATTGAGTCCAACGAGGAACTTGAAGTCCCGATTTCTCCCCACTAAATTCTTATGAGTCTCGGCATCTTTAGTACACCCTTACATAATAGTCTCCATCAAGTAAATCTCTTACCAAAGAGATTTCAGCACAAGGAAGTAAGCATCTAAAGGTTTCTCCCTCTATTTAAACTATTCACATTATTCTTTAGTTTGTAGTCCCCAGTGACATTCAACTTCTGGGAATACGTCTCTGTAACACTATCCCACACCTCTTTTGTAGTCTCCATCCACGATAATGTTGACTGATATGAAGTTGCATGGAATTCACTAACTAGCTTACTATAGTGTAGTTTTCTTGCATCCACCTTTCATAGGTAGGGTCATCCTCTACAGGTTTCTTCTTGGTCCTGGTGATGTATCCCCATTTCCCTCTACTACGTACATGGATCTTTATAGACTGAGACCATGCTAAAAAATTGATCCCATCCAACTTCACTGAGGTTACTGCCCCCAACAAAGTCTCCACAAACCCTCACAGACCAAACCTGAAATTGTGGAGTGCTTCATCTCACCTCCAGTTTGCTCCATTGGCCAAATGGAGACTAAACAAAATTAAAATAGGGTGTTAATAGTCAATATGTATTGCCCTAAGGCCAAAACTACTCTTCAAACAGCCAAATTAGGAATTTCACCAGACCCGACAAAATGGGAGAAAGAGAGAGCCTAGCTGCTCCTACCAGAGGCACCAAAAATCTTTCCAACTTGGATCGATCTCAAAGACAATCTAAGTGCTTCTATTCCCCAAGCACCACTTACATACTACCTCTATATCCCTCAATCTAAAAACTCTCTAGTTAGCTAGGGTGTTTGGGAAACTCTCCAAGAACCTGCCTTGGGCCCAAACATCACTGCAATCTTCTCCAAAAACCTCCACTAATTGGGCCGAATACTTGCTACTCAATTAACCAATCAACTCTCCTTACTGTGTATGGGATTAAAGAGAAGAGAAAGGAAGAAGGTAGGACCACCATATATATATATATATATATATATATATATATAACAAAATTTTATTAATTTGTTATTTTATTAACTAATTAAGTTATTACGCTTAAGTAATTAAGTTATAGTTGATTAATATTTTATTTTTGAACAAATAAATACTTTATATATGAGTAAAAAATTATTGCCAGCATGGCCCACTAAAGTGCAGGCAGCACAAAACATTACACCTATTGACCTATACCCTCATCTATGAATTTGTCTTAGTTTTAAAGTAGTTAGAATTTGCTTTATTTCAGTTATTGAGCCCCAAGAGAGATCTAAGCCCCTACATTTAGTCTATAAAAAAGTCATTGTAATTGAGTTATTGAGATCTGAGAGTCCTCTTATTCTATTGTTTCTTTTCTGGTTTTCTAAACAAAAGTTGAACTTTCTCTATTGTCTACCATAGCCTAACATCTATAGTATAGTTTTATATTTTTTTTTTCTATTTTTGCCTGTTAATACTTGCGGCTGAAGCCTATGGCTGTGTATGAGGAGTTTTCTGCTTCAGATTTGAGCCAGAAAAGGCTTAGAAGAAGAGATAAGAAGAAAATAAGTTTGTAGGCCAAAAACCTAAGGCTACACCTTATTAGGTTTAACATGATTAAGTTAAAAGTTCAACCCTGCTAGAAAAAGACTAAATTGACCCTACAAGACATGCTAAAGACCTGTCAACAGATTTTAGCAATCTACTTCTTTGTTTATAAAACAACACTGCTCTTCTGTGAAAAAGAATATCTATTTTCCAGTACTAAAAATATAAATGTAGAAGTAATTTCTAAAAGGTTATAAACCCCCACTCAAGTGGAGTTTCAATGGGATGAATATACAAAATATAACCAAATACCTGCACTGTAGCCAGAGCAGTATCTCTTGCTACCCCTGAATACAGGCACAATTTAACCAAATTAATAGCAACAGAAACCTTTATGGTAACCCATGCTTCCCTTTCCTGAGCAACACCTTCAACAACATCTAAAGGAAGAGTTACAGGTCGCACCAAATCCCCAGAAAGTGTCTCAAGATGTTGGTTCAGTGGCGGAATGGTCTTTGGACTCTCTGAGAAATTAGAAAGGGCACATTCTGTAATTATCTGATATTCCCTTGTAGATAAAGCTGCTTGCAGGTCCTCTATCTGAAGATCAAAAAATTGCCAAGGTCAGGAATGAAGCCACAACTTCAATGAACATACAACCTAACAAAATCATAGATAGAACAAATGAAAAGGTTAAAACAACCAAGAAAAGCCACTAACAACACCTTTGGCATGCATCAGGTTACCTTGATTGTAGATTCAGTAACTGGCATTTGATGCAGTAAGTCCCGAAGTGACCTCTGAACAACAATGGAAATGCCCTTGACGTCTTGAATTATACTTTCACCTGATTCCTTTCCACTACCAACAGTTAGGTTGATGTCTTCAACCTGTATCAAATCTAAAGTTCAGAATATCACAAAAATATACATGCAGATGGAAGTGTAGTGAGAAGTATAATTCCAGTGTTGTTAAGATGCCTCTCAATTAATGCGTATGTCCATAGAAAATAGGCACCAGCACAACACTTTTTGCAACAAGACAATGACATAGTTTTGGATAATGTATCATGAGAAGGATACATGAAGTTCCAGCACTTCACATTTCCAAGCTTTTCTAATTTTCTTATTTTTACAACATTTCTGAATTATTATGTAACCTTATGCCTACTTACAGCCATTTTCCCATGTTATGATATCTGGAGTTGACATGTTGAACACTTGTGGACATCTGAATGCTTAGCACATCTGCCATATGGCAACATGGTGTGCCCCTTCAAGAAACCTTTTTGATTAAATAATAAAAGTAAAAAAGAAGAGGAAAGGGAAGCCTTCGCTAAAAAACTAAAATAAATCTACCACTTGATGTGCCTCTCCAGTTATGGGGCAATGGGTATAAAAAAGTGCCTAAATGGAAGTATTGGAATGTAAATAAATCATAGTGAACGCATCATAGACAGATTTTGGAGAATGAACTGCCCTTGCTAAAGAGGGGTGTAGAGACAGAGATAGTGAGGGATGAATTGTACTTTGCTTTCTTGTTGTACCATTCGTTTTCTATTCTTTTTACCTTGTATTATAAGGACAGAAGTGTCCTTTTACATCTTTTAATATAAATAGCCTCTTCCAAGGATCAAAATTTTGATACGTATCGGCCTGTATTGGCCAATACATATCGTATCCGAGCCTTCCCAATACACCCCTACAGGGGGTGTTTCAGGTCGGCGAGTGGTTCAGGGGGTAGACCGGCCTTAAACCGGCCCCTCTGAACCAAATTCGAAAAAAAACACACATAAAAAACAGTACCGATACAGGCCGATATGCCCTACCAGCGTATCGCCCTGTATTGATATTTTGAACCTTGGCCTCTTCTTGGTGTGGTCGACACATTAAACACACCCCAAATCTGCAGTGTTCTCTCTTGTACGAACTATGACATGGTATCAGAGCAGGTTTAGTTGGGAGTTAGTTTGGTGAACCAAGGCTAACAATCGAGTACTGTTCATGGTCAATTCACGTTACTGTTCATGACTACTGTTCGCGCGAGGTTCATTCTATTTGGCTTTGATCTCAGACTTTGTTCTCTTATATTCAGCATCAAGTTGGGTCTATTTCTCAACCTTTTCGAACTAGCATATCCTTTTTTTCATGGACCATTCTGATCAAGACAAGAAATCTGGATTTTCTGGACTGGGACAACACTTGGGTAATTTTTTCAGTGTTTCCTTTCAAATAACTGATCCATTTGCTCTAAAATTTACATCTTGTGTCGCCCTAGGCTGTTCTTACAGCCCTAGAAATTTGGTGAAGATTGGAGTTGGTTTGCTAGGGTTTTGATCCCTCCCTTTGTTTGGTTCATCTGTGAACCTGTTTTGGACAGTGAACATATTTCTTTGCTTTTTTGGCCTGTTAGAGACTATTTTCTTCATCTTTTCCCTTACTATGGCATCTAAAAGAGGTGATGTTCTTCCTATTAAGTTCAACGGAACCAACTATGCCTTATGGTAGTTCCATTTTTAGTTTTATGTTGAAGGCAAGGGGTTGTGGGGCTATATTGATGGATCCACCATTGTGCCTAAAGTGGTTGATTCAAAAGGGATGCAGACTTGGATGATTAATAATGCCCAGATTGCATCCTGGATTCTGAGTTCAGTCATTACTGATGTTGCTATCCCTATGAGGGGTCTTCAGACAACCAAGGAGATGTATGAATATCTAGAAAATATTTATCAGCAGTCCAACATCTCATGATAGTATCAGGCAATCAGCTTGAAACTGAGATATTTTCCTACAGCCAGGGTGAAGGAAAAATTCATGAATACTATGTGGGGTTCATCAACCCTTGCAAACAGTTTGAGCTTATTCACATGGGTGAAATGTCTTCAACATGCTGTATTCAAAACTTTGAAGGAACATTTAATAGAAGGAAAGTAATGCACTTTTTGATACATCTCCGACTTGAGTGAGGTAATAAGATCAAACATTTTATATAGAGACACTGCGCCCGGTTGTCGGGGAGAAAGAGAGAAGATGCAGCCGCTCCTACCAGAGCTTCCCAATCTCTTCCAAAACTGAACCACCCTCTTTTAGAAGTCAAAAGGCACCTCCCAAGCACAGAGAGCCACACCCAATGCTTCACTTTTATCTGTAACTTCGAAAATCTCTAATCGGCTAGGTTTTGGGCAGAAACAGTACAGCATCACTTCGTGGCAGTTTCCGGCCAGAATACAACTCTCCAAACCCTCTACCAACTAGGCAAAAGGTCATCTGAACTATAGAGAACCTATCTCTCCATACACTCTCTTAATCGAAGGGTGTATGGGAAAAAGAGAAAGAAAAAGAAACCTGCTCTGATACCAAGATGTAAATCAGTCCTATAAAACTGATATAAACTTGGTAAAATTTAGAGAGAAAAAAGAAAGAAAAATAGAGAACAACAGCACAAAGGAAGAAGATGGAGAAAAGAAGAGGAAGAAGAAAAAGAGTTTGAATGTCTCTTCCCTCCCTTCTCTAATCCTTTTATTAAACTTCAATCTTAGGTTAATTACAAGTATGCCCTTAAGTGGGCGGCCAGCTAGCCAGTAACATAAAGAGAACTAACAAAAAAGAAATAACAGGCCCATAAAGATAGGCCCATTAGCTAACAAATAAATAAATAACATATTACAAGAAAAGATACTAGGGCCCATTCAGCCCAATCTCTCTACACACTTGATACTATTTTGGGTGAATTACATAGAGGAAACTAGGATAATCACTCAATCAGTTGTGAATGCCAAGAATGATACAGTAGAGTCTATATTTCTAGCAAAAGATAAGTCCAAACCAAAGGACTTATCTAGGGTGCAGTGTTACGAGTGCACAGAATTTGGTCATGTGATAGCCCATTATAGGAAGAAAAATACTTGTACTTACTACAAGAAATTTGGTCACATTATTACTGAATGCCCCACAAGACCACCTAAAGGAAATCAATCTGGTGGAACAAAGAGTCATCACAAGGCATATCAGATTTCGGTTAAGGGATCAAATGATACATCATCCTCCACATCTCATACCAAGAATGACACTGCAAATGTCATTACTGAAGAAAATATTTGACAGTTGATGTCCTTGACAATTTCTTCTGCATTTTCAGCTTTCGGCTTGTCTAGTAAGTGTGCCTACTATTGTGCTTCTCCTATTCATCTCTGGATAATAGATTCGAGTGCTTCCAATCATATGACGGGAGCTACATGTGGTCAATCATCCTATCCATGGTTTAAAATGTCGCGACATTTCGCTAATGTCGCCCGACATATGTCGACGTCGAGACATACCGACGTGAAATCTCACTTGAATTAAAAAAATACAAAATGTCGGTCGATATTTCGACCATTTCGGTAATACCGCATATGTCGTTTAAAAAACAAAAAAATGCAATATTTCGAAACATCTCATCCAAACGTCGACAAATCAGCATATATTCAAAGTGAAGACAATCAAATTTCATCATAAACAAAAAGAGAAAAAGAGAGAGATTAAATGGGAAAAAATAAGTTTTCAGTTTACTTACCTGAAGCTGGAAGAACTACAACTTCAGGCTCGAATAGGCACAGGAGTGGCTTCTACCCTCAGTCTTGCGCTGAAATATACCTTATTGGAACAAGGCGCAGGACACTGGACATCTAAAACTCCAAAAGAAATTGCTCTCATCTCACTCTCAAGTCTCGTCTTTATTCAGGTATGCAATACTATCCCTATTTCCCTCTCACAGTGAATAACCATGAAAATTAAGGGGAAAAAAGGAAAAAAATAGAAGATGAGGAGTTTTTCTTCATCTTCATCTACAGATTCCTCAAATCCTCGCACAGTCACATTACGACTTTGCGTCTTTGTAGAGTCTTCGAAATTTCAGGTTGAGGGTTTGAATGACTAATGAACCCTTAAGCCTAAATGTTTAAGTTTATGTTATAAAAGACATGTCACAGTACATGATGATCTATTTATGCCTATAGACCATCACAAAAGCAAGCCTTTAAATGGAATCTTTAAAACATAATTACAAGTATGTTATAGTGCAATAGGGTCTATTGTAATACTATAGACCTCCTAATAGAAAACTTATAAAAAGAATCTTTAATATATTCTTATAGTCTTGTTACAAGTATATATGAAGGTCTATAGTAATATTGTAGGCCCTCATTATAAAAGCCAAAAAAAAATAATAAATAATAAGAAAATTAATATTTAAGACAAATATAAAATATTCATGAAAACAAATGATTAAACTAACTACTTATTAAAATAAAATAAAATGCATGAATAAAATGTTTTTATAATAATAAAATATTAAATGGTCTGCTTAATTTATATGATTTAATAAATAGTTTATATAGTGATATTGTATACCCTCATTATATAAGTAAAAAAATTAAATAATAGTAAGAAAGTTTATATTTGAGATAAAATATTCATAAAAACGAAAAATAGTGAGATATTTTATATAATAGTAAAAATATTACTTAAACTAATTACTTATTAGAATAAAACAAAATAATTTTATTAATAATAAAAATATTAAATGGTTTATATTGTTTATATGATTTAATTCTAATTATTTATTAAAACAAAAAATATGCACCATAGAAAATAATAGTCTACCTCTTGCTCTTCCCCTTTCAAGTTACCAAAAACGTTATTCATTCCTAGACTTGCAACAAATTTAATATCAATTGGTTAACTTGTCGAACATGGTCATACTATCACCTTCTCACCTAATGGTTGTTTGATACAAGACCAGTGCATTGGGGAGGTGAAGGGGAAGGGTTGTAGATTGAGACAACTATTCGCCCTAGAATTTGAGAAGAGACCTACTTCTCCGACAACTAATTCTTCTTGTTTATTTTCTACTACTTCCTTATCTTGTAATAATGATTGGAATATTCGGCATCACCGGTTAGGCCATCCTTTTGCAAAGAAACTTGATTTACTTATTTCATCTAGATCTTTATCATTATCTTCTTTTGTTTCCATGAATATGGACAAAACTTGCATGTCTTGCTGTTTAAGTAAAAACCATACTTTACCATTTCCTGTTTCTTCTACTCAAGTTATTGCACCATTTCAGTTAGTGCACAATGATGTTTGGTCGTCTCCAGTAATTTCCAGGATGGATTTTAGATCATACCCATTATACGTGGATATACTTTCTTCAAAAGAAATCAGACGCATTTGCTATATTTAAACTATTCCATGCCAGAGAGACCACACAATTTAATACCACTATTAGTACTCTCTGTTCAAATTCAGGGGGAGAGTATATTGATAGGGAGTTTCAGGCCTACCTACAACACCATGGTATACAGTCTCAAAAGTCCTATCCTGGCACTCCTCAACAAAATGGAGTTGCTGAAAGCAAAAATGGCCATATTCCGAGTGTTATTAGAACTCTCCTTGACTCTCATGCTCCTGCAACCTTTTGGGTGGAGGTGGCTTGCACTGATTTTACATCTTATCAACCTTCCATCATCTGTTCTTGATAGCATATCCCCACATCAGTCTCTATTTAATACTCCTCCCAACTTATCCATGCTCCATGTGTTTGGTTACATCTGTTTTGTTTATCTTCCTCCACATGAGCGCACTAAGTTGTTTGCACAGTTTGTTTTATGTGCCTTCTTGGGATATAGTCCTAACAATAAGGGATTCATATGTTATGATCCTTAGTCTCATCACATTAGAATCTCTCGAAATGTGATGTCTCTCAAAAATCTTTCATTTTTTCTACATATCACAAAGTTCTCGCCCCTTCAATTTTTGTTCTTCAACACTTTCCTACAGGTACTTCAAAAGCATCACCTTGTTCTTTCTTGTTGCACCAACTCTTTTTCAGGAAGCAGCTAGCAACTCCAGCCCCTATGCTCCCAACCTCTCCTCCTCCAAAGCATGGCACTATATCCACTCATACCCCTGTAAGTACACCATCTCCTCAAGTTTACACTGATATTCCTAACTTGCGCCACTCCACTAGAGTTTCTAGACCACCTAACCGCTATGGTTTTCCTTTAGACCATAGCTCTTTCTTTGTTGTTCTATCCACTATAAATATCCCCAGATCTTACTAGTAASTTGTAGTTCACACTCATTGGAGGAATGCCATGGATGTTGAAATAGTTGCTCTTCTCGAGAAAGACACTTGGGAATTAGTTCACCCTCCTCCCAATGCCTTGGTTATAGGGAACAGGTAGGTGTACTCTGTAAAGTTGAAGTTTGATGGCAATCTGGACAGATATAAGGCTAGACTAGTTGCACAGGGATTCAAGCAAGAATATGGGATAGACTGAGGAGACATTTTCCTCAGTAGCCAAGATGACAACAATTCGTCTCCTTTTGCTCACCAAATGGATGTAAAGAATGCTTTCTTGCAGGGGGATTTGAAGGAGGTCATGTACATGAAACCTCCTACTGGTTACTGTGATGAGCCCCACCTAGTTTGTAGACTCAAGAAATCCCTCTATGGCCTTAAACAAGCCCCTTTGTTGGGTTTGAGGTTTAGATCTGTGATCACTAATGCTGGATTCATTCAGAGCTCCTCAGACTATTCTCTCTTTACATCACAGCATGACAGGAAAAAACACATTGAAGTTTATAGACACTTCATAAATGAAAGGGTGATAGCAAGAGAAGTTTTATTGCCTCTTATATCACCACTAAGTAACAGTTGGCTGATGTCTTCACCAAAGGGATCGCAAAAAACAACCTTGAACATGACGTAAGCAAGTTGAGAATGTGTGACATTTACTCCCAACTTGAGGGGAAGTGTTGAGGAGTTTGTGCGGATTTATTGGTTATTTTGTGAAGATTTATTGGTTAATTTGTTTATTATCTTTAGTTAGGGAGTGGGGACCACAACACACTTGTTGGGACCCTTTAGAGTGGTGTTTTTAAGTCTTTTAGTGAGTTTTTTATGTAAGACGCCATATTAGTCATTGAACATAATTTTTACCTAAATATAAATATCAATAAGAGGGGGTGGCCAGATCTAATAGCTCTCTCATTCTTTTCTCCATTCTCTCTCTTCTCTCTTCTCACAAAAACTTCTTCTTTCTCTACGGTTTTTTATTTCTGCAGGTTTCTACTAAGCACTCATAATTTAACAATGATATGGCATTAAACAGAACAGAATGGTGAGACAGGAGTCATATAACCGGTCCCATATAATTGGTAAAAAGATTGGATGATAATGATTTCATTTATTTCTTTTTACACTATATTTTTTTGGGGGGGGAGTAGGAAGGAGAGATCTGTCACACAAGGTTTACCTGGACAGTTAATACTTCCAAATGAACAGCACCCATTTCACTTTTGTCACCACCGAGCCACTGAAAAGTATTCTGAACAGTAATATGAACGACATCTAGCTCTAGATAGCTGCAATTGAAAAGCTCATTATAATAAATGGAAATTATTCAACAATAGAAAAGGAACCGATCTTACAACATGTAGACCATGTACAAAAACTTACTCAGAGCTGTCTGTTCTGCGAGGCATCAATATTATAGGCTTTCTAAGTGAAAGATCCAACTTAAGAGCAGGTGATCCTTGAAGTTCACTTGTAGTAAACCACTTCTCTGAGTTGGTTCCTTGATCCTTCAACTTTACAATACCAGTTGAATTGTTGGGAACAAGGCCCATGAAATAACTGATGACCTAAAATATTAATTTTGAATAAACATAAGAATCTGAATAATATATGCAAGAGAGAATAGTGCACCTTGATGTGAGTTACCTCTTGCACAAAGCGGTTCAAATATATAACCCGTACTTCTGAAAGCTGTCCGCAAAGGCTATAATCAAAGCCTTCGTAGTCATCATCATCAACATTGAATGAACTGAAGAGTAACTGCAAATGCATGGTTAATATTACATCATTTAGAATGGAAGTCAACAAACAACATAGCTTACAACATAATAGAGTGGTCCATTTTGGTTGCAGGTGATGTTGTCAATGTGTATCTTCTCTTGGTCAGTGGATTTTGAAGTGGTAAGCAGGAAGAACTATTTATTTTCTCTTCTTTATTTGCTTGTTAATATTTCTGGCTAAAGCTTGTTATTGCATGTTAGAAATTTTCTGCTTCAAAGAATGTCACTAGTATAAAGAGGAAAACAAAATATACAAAGTTTGACAAACTACATATAGATAAAATTAGTTGGGTTAACTCAGAACATACAAAGCAGCATCAATGAATTTAAGAATAGGCATACCTCAACAAATGAACTGCCCCCAGGATTTCTCATATCACAAACCCAGAAATATGAATGAGTGCTAGGAAGACTGCCATCACTTATCTTTAGATTTCCCAGAGAAGCTTTTATGCTAAAAGAAGATGGGAAGACCTTGTAAACAAGATAGAAGCAAATAAGTATCATGTATAAACAATTTTTGCAAAGCAATAGAAAAGATAACCCAGTAAACCTTAATATCAGTGAGCAAATTATCTTGTGATAGAGTAGCAAGTATAGATCCATTTTCATTCATCAACAGAATCTGTGCACGATCCATGTTCAATGTTAAATAGAACATGACTCTAGATTTCCCTTTCCCAAGCAAGCCTTTAACAACAGGTTCTTGGGTTGTAACTGAATGCTGATCTTCAATCATAACTTCCCTTGAGGTATCTTTTTGTGTCATAGCTTCTAAAGGCTTATCAGTGGAAGAATAAGAACCCCCATCCTCAATGTTGATAGCATTCACAAATTCCATAATTGCAATAATTGTTGGCCTATTACAGAAAAATGATAAGGTTGCTAATGTCACTGTAACCTGCGAGGTGCCATAAGATGATATAGTTAGCAGATAATTAACAACATGATCAAGTGCCACAATTTTTAGGTACAGTACTTACCCACTTATCTACATTGTCATATAGAGGAGAATTATGGTCAAAGATCACTATCTGGGCTTTCACGAAACTGTCCAAGTTATCAGTTATTTCCATTCCCTCAGTTACTTTTTGAGGCCCAGCATTAGGAAGTAAACCGCGAATACAACTAAAACTAGGAGGGTTTATTGACAGCTTTATTGATGGAATTGAGTTCCCAGATGGTTGCTCAGGATAGTCAACTAAGTCAACCAGCTCTTCAGAAGCTTCAAAAAACCCGTCATCTCCATCACCTTGATTTTGGTCATTGCTGCTACAGCTCCAACATACAGCATTTTCAGTGGACAAGGACTCATCAAAAGTAGAGCTATCTGTGCTCCTGATGAAGGACCTTGCCAGAAAATGAGGTCGATTCATACCCTTAGAGCATACCAAATCTTCAATTTCTAAAGACGTCAAGACTGTGCCAATAAACATGTCATTTGCTCTAATTGAAAGTTCCACCTGTTTTTTGTAGATTCAACAATCAAAAAAAGAAAGAAGGAAAGGAAAAACATCAAAACATCTATAAACTAAACTGCAATTCAAGAGCAAAATTACCTGACCACCTATTGCACGAAACTCAAATAGACGACTCTCTTCTGCTAGAAGAACTTTCATTAAACTTTGGCTATCCTGGAAAAAAATCAGAAGAGTTAGGTATTTTAATCAAAATTTCATTTCAGTATCGCCATACCATGAGGAATATACCATTTAGCGGGCACCATTGATCATCAAAATCAGTGATAGCAGTAATATATACACTAGTGTTGCCTGGTAATAAAATATTATTCACAAATTGAGTTGAGTATAAAGGAAACAAGCTCACCAAGTGACTATAACTGAAACAGATTTTCAGTTCATCAAGAACACCAATCATGAACATTTTTTCCACATTCAACAAATCCAATACATTGCTGTCATCTACAAATTCGGTTTCCATGTCTCCAGGATCAGATGATGTTTCAGATAAATTAATGATAGGAGCAGAACCCTGCATACAAAATTTTGATGAGTAGGTAACACTATTAAGTGGACATAACCATGTTCTATTAGACTGATACAGTCAAAAGTATACTTTGGGACACGAAAAAGTACTAAATTGTGAGAACTACCATAATTTTGACAAGCTAATGCATTCTTAAAACAAAATCTAATAAGATAATTGTTGTAACAAGTGACAGTGTGGGCCTTTTCTAGTGGGACTTTTCTTCTTTAGATTTTATATTCAGTTTTATATCTGAAGTGGGACTGGAGTTATTGGGCCTAAGTCAGCTCTTTTATTTTTATTATTTTTGTCTGAATGCCCCATTACTAATCAGGGGAAAATCAGTCCTTTTATGTATTATTTAACATCTAATATAAATCCTTTTCCATGGCCAGCCGAGAACAGGCTTGCCACCCATTCACTTTTCTCTCTTCTCTTTGTTCTCTCTTCTTTCTACTCCAATCTCCATTGCAGGTCTGATTACATGGTATCAGTTCCAAACATTTTTTTTCTTCTCCCCTTTCTCCTGTCTTCCTTTTTATTTCTTGTTACTGATTAAAGAGCCCTAGTTCTGATTGTTGTGTCCAAGGGATTCTGTAACTAGGGTTTCTCTTTGGGAGTAGGGACCAAAGAGGAGGTTTCAACCTAGCCTATGCCCTACTAGGTTGTGGTGACAACCAGTAGCCATTTGGCTACTAGAGTTTCAGACAGATCTAGAAGAAGACTGAGTAGACAGTGGATACCATACATCTGAGTATGCTTCTAAATGTGTATCAGTTCCAAGCATCAGTGTATGCTTCTAGCTTCATGTGTCCATGCTTAGCAAACAAGATACCTTTCCCTGAAGTCCCTTTTAGATAGCATAGAACCCTCTCAACTGCTGCTAAATGTGTATCTCTGGGAAAATGCATAAACAGGCTAATTACACTAACTGCATAGGAAATATCTGGCCGAGTCATGCAAAGGTATAATAACTTCCCAACCAGTCTCTAGAACATTCCCTTATCAGGCAACAGTTCACCTTCAGTAGTTAACAGCTTATGATTTAGGTCTATAGGAGTAGAAGCAGGTCGAGCAACTAGTTTACTAGTCTCTGCAAGGAGATCAAGAACATACTTCCGTTGAGAAATGAAGATACTATCCTTAGGTCTGGCAACTTCAATTCCCAAGAAATATCTGAGTTCTCCCAAGTCTTTAATTTCAAACTCAATGTTAAGAAAACTTTTGAGATGAACAACTTCCTGAGTATCATTACCAATAACCACAATATCATCAACATAAACAATCAAAAGGGTCACTAAGGAATCTCTCCTCTTAACAAACAAGGTATGATCCGACTGAGTCTATGTGTACCCAAAAGCAACAAGGGCAGCCCAAAATCTGTCAAACCAGGCTCTAGGAGATTGCTTAAGGCCATAAAGGGACTTCTTCAGTTTATAGACCTTTCCTTGCATCTCCTTCCCATACACCCCTGGAGGTAAAGACATATAGACCTCTTCATGTAGGTCCCCATTCAAGAAAGCATTCTTTACATCAGACTGATGAAGAGGCCAATCAAAAGCAATAGCTAAAGATAGCAAAACTCGAATTGAAGTCATCTTGGCTACTGGGGAAAAAGTTTCCAAGTAGTCAATACCATACATCTGAGTATATCCTTTAGCAACCAAACGGGCCTTATATCTCTCAACAGTACCATCAGAATGATACTTAACAGTGAACACCCACTTATAGCCAACTGGTTCCTTTCCCTCAAGCAAACCCACAATTTCCCAGGTATTGTTCTTATACAAAGCATCTAGTTCAGTCATCATAGCATCCCTCCATTCTGTTTTGGACAAGGCTTCTAGAATAGATCTATGAGTCACATGTGTAGAAACAGAGGCAAGGAAGGAATAGTAGGAAGGGGAAAGAAGGTTGTAGGACAGGTGTTTGGAAATGCAATGAGTTGTACATTTCCGTTTGCCTTTGCAAAAGGCAATAAAGAGATCAAGGTCAGGGAAGGTATCTGAAGTGGTAGAAGAGGACTGACCTATTACCTCAGTAGTGATGGAAAGAGAAAGAGGCACATCTGAAGGCATGGAAACAACTTGCATGTCTCTGAATCTTTGCCTCTGGTATCACCTTTGAATAATAGGAAGGGAAGGAAATGTGGGAGCATGAGCAGGAGGAGGAGGGGGAGTAGGAACATGAGAAGAAGAACCAATAGAGGACTCGATTGGAGGAGACTCCATAGAAGATTCAATGGGAATTGGAAGAGAAACAAATGGTGACAATGCAAACTCCTCTAAATGCTCCCTCTCAGAAGTACCAAAGAAAGGAATGGACTCTGCAAATGTGACATTTCTGGAAACAAAGCGAGTGCCACAAACCGGATCAAAACAGCAATATCCCTCCTATGTGAAGGCATATCCGAAAAAGACACACTTGTGTGTTTTAGGCTCAAACTTATGTCTTTGATGACTGTGAACATGAACATAGCAAGTGCACCTAAGCACTCTGAGAGGAAGAGAGAAGAGATTCTCATTTGGGAAAAGCAAGCTAAAGGGAGTTTTAAGCCCCAGAACCCAGGAAGGCATTTAGTTTATCAAGTATGTAGCTGTAAGGACAACATCCCCCCAAAACTTAACAGGAACATGGGAAGCAAAAAAGAGGTTCCTTGCAACCTCAACCACATGTCTGTTCTTCCTTTCCGCCACTCCATTTTGTAGAGAAGTGTAAGAACAGGAACTCTAATGAATAACTCCAAAGGTGTCAAAGTAGGAGGAAAGGCTCTTCTCAAAATATTCCTTTACATTATCAGATCGGAATATTTTGATCCGAGTGTTAAACTGGGTAAGTATAAGTTCATGAAATTTTTGTACAATATTTGGTACTTCATCCCAGGATTTCATAAGGTAAATCCAGGTGTAATGAGAAAAATCATCAATGAAAAGAATGAAATATTTGTAACCCCCCATAGCAAGTAAATGGTATGGCTCCCACCCATTAGAGTGCACAATATGGAAAGGAGAAACAGATCTTTTATTACTAATTGAAAATGATTGTCTACAATGTTTTGCAAGTTCACATGACTCACAATGAAAACCCGATAGGGATATTCCCTTAAACATTTATGGAAACAAACGACTAAAAGCTGAAAAAGACAAATGACCAAATCTGAAATGACATATCATGACTCTATCAACTGACTCTAATAAAACAGACTCCAAAGCTACTCCACCAGGTAATACAGAACTTTGATCAGAGACATTCAGAGACATCCGGCAAGTGTATCCCATTCACTTCATGGCCACTCCCAATCGTCCTCTGAGACTTCAGGTCCTGAAAAACACAATACGTAGGAAAGAAGGTTATGATGCAGTTCATTGATTTTGTTAAACTACCAACAGATAAAAGGTTAGTGCTAAGTTTGGGAACATGAAAGACAAAAGATAATACAAGTGAGTCAAAGGATCTAATATCCCCCTTGCCAGAGATGGGAGCAAGAAACTCATCAGCAAGAGAAATCTTCTCTCTACCCGAGAGAAGTTGGTATGAACAAAAGAGGTTGGGTATGCTAGTCATATGGTCTGATGCACCAGAACCTGTGATCCAAGGAATTCTACAATTACCTAAGGTTGTAGCATGATTTGTAGAAGCACGAATACCTGAATGGGCAAAAGCAGATGTAGAGGGGGTGCCTAAGGAGGAAGATGCAACAGCAGACTCCAAGTGATTTATTAACTTCCCATATTTCTCAAATTCTGCCTTCACTGTTGCCAGTTGTTCCACAGCAGATTTTTCTTCACTTTCAGATACTATAGCAACATTTGCATTCTTGGGCTTTCTAAACTAACCACCCTTCTTAAAGTTGTTGTTCTGAAACCTCTTTGGAAGAAGATCTAGATGAAGTTTCCAACAAGAATCCTTCGTATGTTTCGGCTTCTTGCAATATTCACATATCACCTCCTTTTTTTCATCTACCCCCTTTGGTTTTAATCTAGCATGTGCAAAATATTCTGGGGGAGGTGGGGTCCGTAGTTGCACCTGTCACCTGCTCTCTTCACTACTCACCATAGAGTATGCTTGAGCAAGTGACGCTTCATCCTTGGCCAGAATATTTTGCCTTGTAATATCAAATTCAAGATTGAATCCTATAAGGAATTCAAACACTGTTTCTTTCCACAAATTTCCTAAAAGTTGTTGCATCTTTGGTGCTTTCCCATACAACTGCTTCCATAACATCTATCTCCTACCATAATGACTTCAACATCGAATAGTAGACAATCACACTCTTCTCCCCCTATTTTAAATTTTTCACATCATTCTTCAGTTTGTAGGCCCTTGCAACATTTAATTTCTAAGAGTATGTTTCTATAACACTATCCCAAATCTCCTTGGCTGAAGTCATCCACAGATATTGTTGACTTATGTGGGGTTGCATAGAATTTACCAACCACCCAATAACCGTGTAGTTATCCTGCATCCATTTCTCATATGCAGGATCAATCTCTTCTGGCATCACCTTACTACCTGTGAGAAACCCTAGTTTACCTCTACTACAGACATGGATCTTAATAAATTGTGCCCAAGCGAGGTAATTTGTTCCGTCAAGTTTAATTGTAGTCACTCCTGTCATAATGGAATCTACAGGACCAACCCCCAACACTGGGATCTGCTTCATCTCACTTCCAGATTGCTCCATCAATCAAACGAAAATCAAAAAATAATGTTTTCAACCTTTATAGACCTAACTAAGGTCAGTCAAGCACCCAAAAAGTCCCAAAACTAGGGTTTCACCGTACCTGGCCTCTGGGGAGAAAGAGATAAGAGGTAGCCGCTCAAACCAGAGCTATCCAAACCACTTCCCACTACAGTCGCCCACTTTTGGAGATAAAAAGGAACCCTCCAAGCCTTGAGCGCCACACCCAAACAGTCTCTTTAACCCGTAACTAGAAACTCTCTAGTCGGCTAGGGTTTTGGGGAAAATCTGCAGTCCCACTTTCTTGGCAATCTTCAACTAGAAAGTCTTTCCCAAATATACATATAAAATTACCAAAATACCCTACAAAGGCCATTACCCAATGTTTATCCCATCTATCTGAGGTCTTAGGGGGTGGACTGGGTACAGTCCTAACCTTTGGCACTTTTCACACAAAATAGAAAAATACATAAAAATTAAAAACAAAAATCCAGTTTTGGCTTCTTTGCTCTTGCATCAATGCTTTCTTCTCTCTTCTAAAACATTCAGACCACTCATCATATGCACATGTCTTCATAAAGTCTTCCCCTTGTCATACAGAACTCAATCAGATATGCATGTTCTGAACTTAAAGACAAACAAAAGTAGGACCCTTTCCCCATCCCCCAAAACAATCCTCTTAGTCAGTGCTATAATCCCTAAAATTGAAGCAATCTGGTCTATCTTATTTACAGTATTTGCACCTTCGAATAAATGAAATTGGAAAAAGCATTGAAAGAAAAACAATAAAGGACATAAATGAAATAGTATAGAGAATATATCATCCCCACATTGATATATACACATAATAATATAGCTCTCAACATATTATATCAAGCTCAAATGGAATCAAACAAAGCAACCACAAGAGGATATATGATTTCAATAAAATAATCATTATGTACCGATGCGCGATATATAGCCCCTTGAAAACAGCTTTGCCATGTTCTCCTGGAATCATCAGAATCACAACGTAATACTAGTGAATTCACATCTTCCACAACCTGCATATGAAAAAAAGAAAGCTAAAATCATAGCCATGATTAATAGGAACTTGGTCCAAACTCAAACTAAGATAACAATCAAACCTTCATGTTAGATTGTCCAGCATCACAAATAGCTAATACATGTTCTACATTGCCAATCAATCCTTTTGGAACATGATAAATTTGTTTTCCCCGTAAGCTGCAAGAAGGGAAAAAGAAGAAAAAAAAAGACATGACATTAACTAATAAAAAACAAAGCCAATATAAATTCTTTAAAAAATGTATATTTTCTTTGACACTTTTAGGTAATTGCTTTATTTGAGGCATTGATAGAGGCAGGGCCTTTCCCCCCTTCTTTTTTCTCTTTTTTTTTCATTTTTATCAGTTTACCAGACCAAAAGAGCTTTATTAACAATAAATCTAAGAAAGTGCAAACATCCAGTTTCCAAGAGATGGAAACTGGGAGGTGTGGAATAAAAGGGATTTTGAAAGGAAAAGTTCAACCTTAGAAGATCTGAAAGGGAAAATACACCTTTTAGTCAACTCTTGGATGAGATCCAATAACATGTTTACAGACATTTCTCTTGGAGACTTGGAGAGAAATCTGATGCAGGTCCTGAGTTCTTGTATGGCACCAACTATTAGAACCAACCTATCACATAGACCTCCTGTGGAGTATACCTTTCGGTTCAATGGTAGCTGCAGAAGTTTGATGAGCCACAGCAGTCAGGCTGGTATTGGGGATCAAGTTATTAAATCTAATAGTGATCTGATCTAGGTCTTTAGTGGGTCAATTGGTGTGGCAGATGCTGCTGGAGCAGAAATCCATGTTTTGTTGGTGCCTTCAAGACTGATGGCTCTTAACCATACAGAGGAGGAGATCAGATTAGCTGAACGCAGTAGCTGTGCAGTGGGTTGTGGAACCAATAATAATGCCCCACACCAGTCATTAAATGCAGATGGTCCACAACCACTCACTCTCTCACTTAGTAGGAGACTTCAGATTTTATAGTTACAATGGGTCTTCACCAAGTTTGGCACTTAGCCCTTATCTATATCCACTGATCATAGACAAACTGACTAAACATATTCAAGAAGTTCCATGGTGCATGTTTTTTTTTTTTTTTCAGATGACATTGTTTTAATTGATGAAACTATTGAAAGATTAAATGCAAAGATTATGGACAAATGCCCTAGAAACAAGAGACTTAAATAAGTAGAACCAAAACAGAGTATATGACATGTAAATTTAGTAATAATAGGAGTGTAAATCAGGATACACTTGGGATTGGAAACCAAGAGATAATTCAATATGACCATTTCCAGTACCTTGGTTCAATAACAAGAGAGAGATTGAAGAGGATGTCACCCAGAGAATTAGAGCAGGTTGGGAAAAACGGAGGGGTGCATCTGGACTTTTGTGTGATAGGAGAATACCATTTTGATTAAAAGGAAAAATCTATAAAACAGTTGTAAGGCCAACTATGTTCTGTGGAGCAAAGTGTTGGGCAGTCAAGAAATAACATGTTCAGAATATGTGTGTGGCAGAAATGCGAATGCTAAGATGGATGAGTGGAAAAACTAAAAAGGATAGGATCAGGAATGAATCTGTCCATAGAAACCTAGTAGTAGCTCTAATAAGTGATAAAATGAGAGAGAAGGCTCAGATGGTTTGGTCACGTGCATAGAAGACCACCAATAGCTCCAATTAGAAGAAGTGATTTGTTACAAGTGGAAGGGGCTAGAAGAGCTAGGAGTTAACCAAAAAGGACATGGGTGTTAGTAAGAAATGATTTAAGCATTAATCATAGTTCTCAAGGCGACAGGGGGTGCCTTGTCGCCTAGTCACCTAGGCGATGGATTTTTTTAAGTAAAAAGAAAATATCCTAGGGTAGTTCCCTAAGTTCCACAACCATATTTCCTCAATAATTATCCATATTTTTCATAAGAAAAGTATAAACTTCATGTTAAAGTATAGAAAATCAACATATTCATGAGAAGAAAAAGAAGAAAGAAAAGAAAATTCAAAAAATATAGGGGCTAAAACCCTATTTTTGTTATAGGAAAAGAAGAAAAGAAAAGGTGGAAGACGAAGAAGAAGATGTGGAAGAAGAAAATGTGTTGATTAGACAACATTTTAAGTTATTCCTTACTTGTTGGTTCAGGTTTTGAAGTCTTTGAGGGTTCAATACAGCATTTAGCAATGTTTGTGTTGCTTAAACCCTAACAACTAAGAAAACAATTAAAAGAAATTAGTATATAAACACACAAAATGAATATTTTAGTTTAATAATGTCTATTTTATAATTATAACCTCAAAAAATTAAGAATATAAAAGTACTTTATAACACCCTGTACAAAACTGCTTGGTGATTAGGCGAGGTGAGCCTCCAAGAGTGCCTTGTCGACTAGGCATTGCCTTCACAACTATGGCACTAATAATTTAACAGTGGATATGGTTTTAAATAGAATGGATTAGTGAAACAGGATTAATATAGCCAACCCCATATAGTTCAGACAAGGCATGGATAATGATGATGATGATGATGTTTTGGGTGGGTTTTTCTGCAATGAATGCTATCGTTCTCAGGAAAAAAACACTGGACATAAACCTTTCAGAGGAAAGTATATGTCCAAGGTCTCTTATTTCCTTCCCTGAGCCACTCAATAGCTATTTGTGAGTCTCCTCTATCTCCACTTGTCGGAAGCCCATCTCTTTTTCATTTTTTATTCCTTTTTTGTCTCGCTATGGATATTTCTTCCTGTAGAACTTTCTTTCAGATATGGTGTTAGTTGCTGGTCACAACAAGTTTCCAGAAATAGATCTCCAGAGAAACCCTTTAAAGGCCAAATATGAAAGATCAAGGACTAGTGGAGTACTAGAAGCAGAGGAGTAGGATGGAGGGGCTTACCCTGATGGGTGCAGGTTGGGGATATGAGTGCTTGTAATGTAGTGGATTTCTAAGTTGTTGATGGATGTTGACACCATAGCCAAGCTATTTTGACTTGTTTTATGGTCTGGGTCTGTTATTCTGTTATTTCCACTATTTTGGGGCCTTGGGTGTTTCTGTATTGTGGTAGGTTTATAGATTTGGGTGATGTTGGGCTGGTTTTTTTGTCTACCTCTCTCTGCCCTCTCTGTTCTCTTTTTTGTAATTTCTCACATACAGTTTTTACAAAATGGATTTTCTTTTGATTTTACGACTGCAAACATAGTTGCTAGAGTCAGCTATTGAGGGGTAGTTCTATTGTTGAAATAATGTACTCTGTTGCTAGTCGTCAACTACTAGCAATATACTGTTCCTAGTAGTCAACCACTAGGCAGTAGTCAACTACTAGACAAAGGGTTTTCCTAGTAGTCAACCACTAGGCAGTAGTCAACTACTAGGGCACTGTTGTAATATAAATAGAAAGGATGGTGCCAGCAGCACTATCTTTTTGACTCCAAATCTTCTCATTTCTCTTTCTCTCTTCTCTTCCTTCTCTCTTCTATTCAGCAACTTTTCTACCAGGAAAATATTAGTATTTATCCTTCCACTGGAAACCTAGTGTAGCCAAATTAGCACCTTCTCCCTTTAATATTTTCTAAATGTCCTCCTTTAATTTTTCAATTTTCATATCTTCTGAGTCTCGATATTCATTATATATACTTTGAAAAATATAACATTCCAAATATGTAACAAACTTTAAATGTAAGAAATGAGAAACCTGAGGTATTGCTTGTAAGTTCTGGAGACAGGACTCTCCAAAATATAAAGAAAAGGCCCAACTAAACAAAGATATCTATGCTGCCACACAGCTTCCCTATTTCCAACACCCTGCCATATAAAATAGTGAATATAATATCAACAAACATAACCAAGAACAACATCATACTAGAATTTGAAATTAGTAAGAAAAAAGAGATAAACCTTCCAGGCAAGAAGAGACAACCATCCCTCAAAATCAGCTTGATTCCAGGGGCGAAGAAAATCTGAATCTGAACTTTCCTCATTCTGGAAGATCTTTGCAACTTGCATTAAACGATGGTATCGAGCCGGGGAAAAATGAAAACCTAGGGAAGGCAGCCGCACAGCAAGTCTTGTTGAAGGGTAGGATGGGTGTGGTGATCGGATCTGCAGATGGTAACAAAAGAGTTATAGTATCAAAGATTGAGATGGTGTTAGCTAGCAAGAAATGTAAACAGAACTAAAAGAACAATAATTACCTGTTGAAGCTTCAGTACTACTCCACACTTATCGATAACAGGTAAAAAACCAAAATATTTTGATTGGGAAGAACTAGAAGAAGCCCCCAGAGTTTGATTCCAATGATAGTCACCATCTACCAGAAAAGCAGATACATCACTGAGACCCAAATTGAACTGCAAGTACATATTTTTCTCCTCAGGCAAATCCAATTCAGAGTCTTCCTGCAGATATATAGGAAAAGTTATATTTGCATCTGATTAAAAACCTTTCAATTTAAATTCCTGAGGTGAAACTTATATGAGAGAACCTGTGTATGAAGAACAAAATTTCCTAAATCAAGTAGCAACTTAGTAGTGTGAGAGTTGTCTGGACAGAAGTTAGTAGGAATTGTAATCTTGGGAGCTGCAATATCCAGGTCCAACAAAAACCTAGCAGCAAACATGAGATAAAAATGTAAAGCTGACCATAAGATGAGAAAGGAACTTTTAACATTAACTAATAATATTACAAACTAAAATGTTCTGGCAACAAGTAAAATACAAGTGCAAATACAAAATAGAACCAGATGACAAACAAGCGCAAGTCTCATGCATGAATTCAAAATATACTAGTGGTCAGATCAAAAACTGCAGCATTGAGATTCCCCATTTGCTTTTAGCCTGATTTTTTCCTTCTTTTCCTTGGGTGGATCTTGAAAAGGAAGAAAAGAAAATTGATGTATCTCATGTGCATTTAGATAACATTGTTCTACATTTTGTTTTTTTTTCTTTTCATTGTATTTAATGTGATACAGAAATAAAACAAAAGGATAAGAAGATTCTTCATCTGAATGGTAAAATCTGACCAGCAGCCTGTTAACTTCTCCCATTTGTTTCATTGATTGATTTGGCAAGTCACTTGGATTAGAATAATGATATGATAACTTAAGAAATGGTTAATCATTATTAAATGCTGAACTTCAGATCAGAAAATTATAAAAGTAAAAACCTGGTGTGATCCTTCAATGCTCTATTCACTTGTTTTTGAGCACTACGTTTGACTCCATCAATAGTCATCTTCAAAGAAGAGGAACAACAATCAATATACCACTTGTAGAATAGCATAGCAACATTCAGAAGTCACAAGGAACAAAAAGAGCCAAAGAAGACCTGAACAGCAGCTGCAGTTTCCAAAGCTATGGTCTGGCTGACAGCTGTACTGCTTCCAAAGAAATTGACAATTTGGTCAATGGACTCCTTCCGATACTGTCCAAAAATGTCATAAGTAAGTGACCAAAAGCCTACACAAAGTAGCTATGAGAAGTAACTGGAAAATAGCATACAGTCATATAGCATGGTGAAGCTCTTGCAACCAGACTCCAGTCTACTCTAACGTCAAAAGGTTTGTATGAAAAGATACCAACCAAGGAATTATCAGTTGCTGCACTCTGCATGGATACTACAAAAATTCAGATCCTTAATATAAGTATTAAAGTACAGATTACAACCAGGTTTTTGTGAACAAATAACACCAGTAAATACACGGACAACATAAGTCAGTGCAGAAGATTCAAACCTCTGCCAAAAGCCCATTAGGTGATGACAAACGATATGATGCCAATTTCAGGTCAAAAACCTTAGTCTCAGAATAGAGCCTGACAGAGCAATCCAGCCCTTCACAAGATAATTCAGCAAGACAATGTTGAGCCTCAGCAATAAGCTTCGAAGCATTATGTTTCATGCGAACCTCCAAGGAGGTATGGAGTATGTTCCCACTCTCTTGAGTTGTCAGCAATTGCACATCATCACCTTCCTTGTAACCTATGATTTTGTTTAATTGTTCCCAGTCTTCCTCACTGAAATTCCAAGGTTCACTCTCATCCTTGAAAGATTGCCCAGTCCTGATAATAAGATATTCTATCATTAAAATCACAGCACATGTACTACAAAATATAATATGATGAGAACTGTGAAGAACTAGTATCAGGTTATCAACCATCCTAATGACCACCAAGGTCTCTTTGTTTTTGGCTTTCTCAAGTAAGGCTCTGATTCTATGGACCGTTCCACAAATTTGTGTGCCATCATCCTGCATAAATACCACAACAATGAGCATAGAAAAGAAGGTAAGCAATTTCAGGAACCCAACATTTTGACACCTGAAATTAATGTCATTCGTTACTGTCATAGTCAATATTATATATGCATCTTTATCATGCTAGCACCTGCATTTGTCTGGATCAAGATCGTAACAATATATAATAAGAAGAGAGAGAGAGAGAGAGAGAGAGAGAGAGAGGTTGATGTCATGAAAGAATACAATGCCACACCTTTACCAATGACATCTTGCAGGTCTGTACTCTGAACCTGGCTATGGTACCTTTTTCTTGCCTTTCCTTTTTATGTAGCTTACCAAACTACTTTAATAATTGTCCTCCTTTAGGGGAAAAAGGGACAGAAGGAAAGTAGTCGTACAAAAGGCACAACATGCAATTTAGAAAGCAAAGGCACCAAGTTCTAACAATGCAATTAGAAGCACTAAGAATTTTTCCAAGGACACCTTCAATCATGAATAACTCCAATGCCCATCAGACTCATGACTCCTTCCAAATTAACTTATACTCCCAGACTGACAATGGTAATAATATTAGAATTAGTTCATACCTCCACTGAAGAATGACTTCAATATCAAGTCCACGATCTAGTTCTTCAATTTCTTTGTTATCATCAACCACCATCCGGTTGGCTTCAGATTTAAGCAAGGAGGCATAGAGGGATATATATCTCTTGCGTATCCTTGCATATCTCAGCACCTGTTCCCATGATAACCGCCCACTGCACACAGAAGAAGAAAATTAAAGTAATGTGTTATATAAGACGACTCCATAATTCACTTCATTAATATATGAATGAAACCAGAATAGATGTTTATTTTAGCACTGACTTGGCTATCTGAACCCAGAGTCAAAATAGGCAACAAATATGAGTAACATCAAAATTAAGAAGCGGTTCATGTAGAATCTTTATGGAGCAACTCTTAGATGCCTTATGTAAATATTAGGGGCGTAAATAGAGCATAAGTACATCTGCAATTCCAGAAAGGTGAATCTTTTTTTTTTTTTGAAGAATACAAAGGAAATCCATTAAATTGAAAAAGATTAAGTACATCTCAAAATACTGGTTGTCTAGATGACAAACCATCTTCTTAACAGAATAACACTGAAAATGAATTAAAATTACATGGATTCAATTCCAAAATATTCCAGAAGTTCTCTAACAGATCTTCCTTGTGTACTTGGTCGAACTCTGGAAGTCTTAGGGCCCAGGCAGAAATCATATTGCCCACTCCTGCTATCAGATACTCTATGTTTTTTGACTTGTCTTCAAATACCCTTCTATTCCTTTCTTTCCAAATGGCCCAACACACTGCAAATGGAATACAGCTACACAAGATTTTGGCTTTCTTGCTTCCTCTGATTTTAGGCCACAGGGAAAAGATTTCTGCTGATGTCACTGGATGGAAAGCAGCCACTCCAAACAGATGAGAGAAGAACTTCCACATAAAGTTTGCCACATTGCATGAGAGAAATAAGTGGAGAACTGTTTCCTACGCTTGACTGCACATATAACAACAATTTGCAAGCTGCCAGCCTCTGGATTTCAGATGATTGCTAGTTAAGATACTACCATGTGCCACCAGCCACACAAAAGCCTCTACCCTTGGGGGGCACAGGATTGCCCCACACACCCTTTATCTGATTTGAATCCCTACCATCTCTCAGCAGAATCTTGTAAAAGGATTTAACTGAGAATTGCCCTTCTTTGCAATCTTTCCACCATAAACCATCTGTTGTATCTCTGGAAATGTTAGCCTCTTCCAATTTCTCCAATAGCTTAATGCATTCTTCCATTTCTTGGTCCAATAAAGGTCTTCTAAATTTTGGATTCCAGACCACTTGCTCCCCCCTCCATTTGTAACACTGCTCAATAGGCACTTGCTGTTCTGTCAATTTATAAAGTCTAGGACATACCTCAAATAATCTACCCACCTCCAACCATTCATCTTCCCAAAACCTTACCCTACAGCCTTCCCCCACTTTAAACTTAACTAAAGTTCTGAAATTTTGATTGAAGCTCATGATTCCTTTCCATACACTCACCCCATAGGAACTTCTTACCCCCCTAGATTCCCACCCGAACCTCATCACTCCATATTTCCCTACCACCCTTCTCCATAATGCCTCCCTTTCCCCCTCTTGCCCAAACCTCCACAGCCATTTCCCTAACAGAGCTTTATTTATTAGCTTTACCCTTCTTAGCCCTAAGCATCCCCCCTCCTTTGCTCTACACACCTTCTCCCACTTAACCAGGTGGAATTTTTTTGTCCCCCCTACCCCTTCCCATAGTAAGTCCCACTGAATTTTTTCCACCCTTGCAGACTTCTTTAGGGACTTTCAAGAGGGAAAGGTAATATGTTGGCAGGCTTGAGAGAACACTCTTAATGAGTGTGATTCTCCCACCCAAAGAGAGGTACTTGGCTTTCCATCTGTCTAACCTCCTCTCCACCCTTTCTAATAAATATACTACTTGATGATGCCCTTGCTCCCACTGGTAACCCAAGATAAATGAAAGGCAGCTCCCCTACTGTACATTCCAGCACCTCTGCAAACTGTCTCACTTCCTCAACTCTTAAGTCCCCAACTCCTATCAAAAAACTCTTCTCTAAGTTTACCTTTAGGCCAGTCAGCATCTCAAAATTGGCTAAAATAGCTTTTAGGTTTAGGACTTGGAATGCTGAAGCGTCTAGAAATATTAGGGTATCGTCAGCGTATTGTAGATGAGTGATACTCAGGCCTTCATTCCCAACTTTGAATCCTTCTATCCATCCCTTCTGCGCTCCTTTCTTCATGATCAAGTTAAGTGGTGCCTCCATCACTATGACAAACAGAAGGGGGAGAGTGGATCCCCTTGCCTCATCCCTCTAGAGGCTTGAAAAAATTCTGATGACACACCATTCATTAACAATGAGGAGGCTGAAGAAATGCACCCATATATCCAACCCCTCCAAACCTCCCCAAACCCCATCAACCTTTGCATTTCCTCCAAGAATCCCCATTCAACATGGTCATAAGCCTTTTCTATGTCTAGCTTACAGACAGGTGAATCTTATGTAGATGTATATGTTTAAAAATGAATTTAGATTTTCCAGGGTCAATATAATCATTGTGTGCTGTTAGAGTCGGCTAAGGGTATTTTAGTATTATGTTAATTACATGTCCTATACTTAAGTAGGGGCATATTTGACTTTGTACACTGTTTTTGATATATAAATATATGGTTGGCTGGGAGAGTCTCTTTGACTTCTCAGTTCGACACCTCTTTCTCCTCTCTTCTTCTTCTTCTTCTCTCTCTCTTTCTCTCTTCTCTATCTCTGAAACTAGTTCGACTGAACTATTCTTACATGGTATCAGAGGGCCACTAAAAAAAAGGAGAAAGGAAGACTACAGCTTCATTCGATCAGCTCCTCTTTCCTCCCTTTTTTATTTTTTTCTGGTCTGCGCAATCTGGCGTTAGTGGTGGAGAAGGCTGCGGCAATCCCCAGAAATCTGCGGCAACCTATTCAGGTGTTCCTAGGGTTATGGTGGCTTAGTTACAGGTCAAGGGGTAGTGCAGCAGCCCTAGTGGAAAATTTCTGGACTGCTGTCACCATGCGTGACAGCCTTGGTGGTCGAGTGGTTGTAGTTGTGGTGGTCTGAACCCTCTATTGAGCAGTTTCAAGAGGGATTTTTTTTGGTGGTTATGAAATTGTATGTTCAAGAAGTGGCTGAATGTATGCTAGGGCAGGTTCGTGGTGATTGGATGAGTATGTTGGTGTAATATTCAAAGAACAATAGTCGAAGTGTTTGGGACTGAGATTTTTTTAGGATGGGTAGAACCAGTTTTGTAGGTTGAAATGGCATCAATGGGAGATGTTAGTGGTGACCAGAAATCAAGTGTGATGATCTCCTCTGATTTTTTAAATGTGCAGATGACATCCATCAAACTCAACGGTGAAAACTATGTGCCATGGGCTAAGTGGGTAGAAGTGTTTCTTAAGGCTAAGAAGAAAGTGAAACATGTACGGGAGGAGAAACCTACTACTGAATCTCCAGGTTTCAGTGATTGGGAGTAGGAGGATGCTCAAATCATGATGTGGTTGTGGAACAGTATGGAGCCTAAAATCAGTGTTAACTTCATGTTCTTAGACACAGCAACGGATATATGGGAGCATGCCAAGAAACTCTATTCTGGACAAGACAACACTACATGAGTTTATCAGCTTTATCAGGAGTACTTCAGTTTGCAGCAGGGAAATCAGACCCTTGAAGAATATTATGCCAATATGAGAAGTCTCTAGAATGAACTTAATGTTTATCATCCCTTAACTCCGGATGTCAAAATTCAACAACAACAAAGGGAACAACTAGATGTTACCCGGTTCTTAGTGGAGCTGAAATTAGAGTATGAACCTGTCAGAGCACAGATATTAGGAGGATCTGCCCTCCCTACTAGAGGAAGTGTTTGCCTGTCTCCATACGATCTCTCTTAGTCCCACAGGAAGTGTCATACCTCCTAACAGATCAGCACTTGTTGGAACTCGAGGAGGAGCTTATGGGAATAGAGGAGGTGGCCGTACAATTAGGGAGGTCGTGGTAACCCTATGTTTGGTTGTAGCAATGGTGGAGGTCGTGATTCAGGGGGAGGCCGTGGCAGAGGAATATTGTGGAAGAGATGGACATATAGTTAACTTCTGTTATGATCTGCATAGTCCACCCTCCACATGGGCTAATCATGCAGCTATTGGTGGTAGTGAAGCAAGTGATAATCAGCCAATTGATCCAACACCTTCTACAGTCACAACTACTTCTAGGAAGGAGATGATGAGTATTCCAAGAGATGAGTACGAGAGATTCCTTCAGGCTACTTCACATCAAAATACTGCCACCCTTGCTCATTCAGGTATGGCTTGCCTGGCATCAAATCCTTCCCCCTGGATAATTGACTCTAGAGCCTCTGATCACATGACTGGGGCTCCAGGTGTGTTTTCCTCTCTTTCTCCGACCTCCACATCACATAATGTTACCCTAGCCAATGGTTCTACCTCCACCATGTATGGGGTCGGTAATGTTGACACTGCATCTCTTTCTTTGCCTTTTGTTTTATATGTACCCAAGTTTCCTTTTAACCTTATGTCTGTTAGTAAACTAACCAAATCCCTTAATTGTTCTATCACGTTTTACCCTTCTAGTGTTTTTCAAGATCTCAAGACAGGGAGGAAGATTGGTGGAGGGCATGAAGCAGGTGGGTTGTATTACCTTGATAGTGGTGGTTCTACAGTTGCACTTCAAACTTCTTTGACTCCTCTCCAATGGCATTGTAGACTCGGCCGTCCATCTCTTAAAGCTCTCAAGCTACTTGTTCCATCATTGAGTCGTCTGTCTTCTTTGCAGTGTGAGTCGTGTCAGTATGGGAAACACCATCAGGTTTCCTTCAATCCTAGAGTTGATAGTTGCATGTTGAGTCCTTTTGATTTGGTTCATTCAGATATTTGGGGTCCAATTAGAATTAAGTCTTATAATGGTTACAAGTACTTTGTTATTTTTTTTATGACTGTTCAAGAATGACATGGATTTATTTATTGAAAGAAAGAAGCGAATTATTTTCCATTTTCCAAAAGTTTCATGCTGAATTGCATACACAATTTGATGTTTCAATGAAAATTCTTCGTTTAGACAATGGCAGAGAATATTTTCTTACTTCATTTCAGCAATATTTGGAACAATATGGCATTAATCATCAGACATTATGTGCAAACACTCCTCAACAAAATGGGGTGGCAAAGAGGAAGAACCGACATCTACTTGAAACAGCTATGTCTCTTCTTCATCATATGAACGTTCCTAAACATTTCTGGAGTGATGCAGTGCTTACTGCTTGTTTTCTCATTAATCACATGCCCTCATTCATTCTTGATGGTCATTCTCCGTTCTCTATCTTGTTTCCCGCTTTGTCTCCATATCCCTTGACTCCCAGGATCTTCGGGTGTGTGTGCTTTATTCAGAATCTTGGTCCTGGTCTAGACAAGTTGGATGCACGCTCTATTAAGTGTATCTTCCTTGGCTACTCTGGACTCAGAAAGGGTATAAATGCTACAATCCCATAACTCAGAAATCCTTTGTCTATCCTAATGTTACATTCTTTGAGTTTGTGTCGTACTTCTCAGGTCTTGATATTTCTCCTTCTCCCAAAGAGGTTCCTCTTCGTCTTCCGGTTGATAATCCCATTCCTGTTGTTCCCATTGTGACTGAGTCTCCACCTTCCCCAACGTAGGAACTTACTGAAAGGCCACCAATCTGTCAAGTGTATACTCACCGACAGAGACCAGCACCTCCTCTAGCTTCTACTCCGTCTGCAGATCCAGTTTCTTCCACACCCGAGTTCCCTTCTAACCTTGACCTTCCTATCGCATTGAGGAAAGGTAAGCGTAGTTGCACTTTGCACCCCATATCCAATTATGTTTCTGTCTCTCACCTTTTCGCTTCCCATCGCGAGTTTGTTTCTCTGTTATCCTTTGTATCTACACCTAAGGATGTTTAAGAGACTCTTACCTCGCCAAGGTGGCGTAAAGCTATGGAAGAGGAACTCTCTGCCCTTAATCACAATCATATGTGAGAACTTACCAATCTTCCCCCAGGTAAGCATGTTGTTGGTTGTAAATGGGTGTATACTGTTAAATATCTACTAGATGGGAGAGTTGAACGGCTAAAAGCCCGTTTACTTGCCAAAGGGTATTCTCAACTTTATGGTGTAGATTATGTGGAAACTTTTTCCCTTGTTGCTAAGATTGGCTCAATACGTGTGTTGATTTCCTTAGCAGTCATGCATGATTGGCCTCTATTTCAACTCAATATTAAAAATGCCTTCTTCCATGGTGATCTTCTAGAGGAAGTGTACATGGAGCAACCACCAGGGTTTGTTGCTCAGGGGAGGATGGTAAGGTGTGTAAGCTCAAGAAGGCAATCTATAGGCTCAAACAGTCTCCCCGTGCTTGGTTTGGCAAATTTAGTGAAGTAGTGAAGGAGTTTGAAATGAGACAATGTCAAGTTGACCACTCAGTATTTAGCTATGACTCTGAAGCCAGGAAGATCTTGCTGGTAGTTTATGTGGACGACATAGTCATCACTAGCAGTTTTAGACTTGGGATTGATAGACTGAAAGCCTTTCTACAAGATCACTTTCAGACAAAAGATCTTGGAAAGTTGAAGTATTTCTTGGGTATAGAAGTTGCTAGATCGAAGCACGGCATAAACCTATGTCAGAGGAAATATGTTACTGACCTATTGGAAGAAACAAAACTATTAGGTGCTAAACCAGCTGAAACACCAATGGAACCGAATGTGAAGTTGGGTAGTGATATAGGTGAATTATTTGATGATTTTGGAAGGTATAGAAGGCTAGTGGGAAAACTGAATTACCTAACTATCACTAGACCTGATATCTCATTTGTTGTTAGTGTGATAAGCCAATTTATGCAAAGCCCTCAAGTTCCTCACTGGGGCACAGTTCTTATAATTGTGCGGTATTTGAAGGGGGCTCCAGGCCATGGGTTACTGTACAAGCAAAGAGGTGGTCTTGAAATAATTGGCTATACAGACGCAGATTGGGCAGGCTCGGTATCAGACAGGAGATCCACTACAGGCTATTGCACCTTTCTTGGAGGGGAAATCTAGTGACATGGAAGAGCAAGAAGCAGACTGTTGTAGCAAGGAGTAGTGCAAAAGCAGAATACAGGGCCATGAAACACACTACATGTGAACTAGTGTGGTTGAAAAATCTTTTGCAGGAAATTGGGTTCTCAATAAGCAAACCCATGAAGCTATACTGTGACAACCAACCTACAATTAACATCTCATCCAATCCAGTCTTTCATGAGAGAACTAAGCACATAGAGGTAGATTGCCATTTTATAAGGGAAAATCTTTCAAAGCTACCTCTAATCTGAATTCCCAGTCACCAACTAAGTGCTGCTGTCAGGAGTTTGATGTTCTAGAACCTACAGCAGTCCCTAAACACAATGATAGATACACAAGCCTTTGTTCTTGTCCACACCACTACTGATTTCACAAAACCACGAACCACACCGACATTAATTCAGCACTTACTAACCACATGCAAGCCCTCTTACAACTACTCAACAGAGATTGTGCATCACAAGCACCACCACACAGCCATAGCTGTCACACACGGTACAGACCTGTCTAACACTTTTAAGAGGGCACTACAAGACCAAAGAGAACTCAACTAGTGCCACTGCATTACACCTTGCACCATTTGGCCACCTACAGTAGCCCCTACACCATTCGGCCACCTGCAGCAGCCCTTACACCATTCGGTCACTGTAAACACAGCCTGTTCTTGGAATTTTTTTCCAAGAACCGGGGCAACAACCAACCTAGTTCTCTAGGTTCTGATCAGTCCTCGCAGGTTCTTGAAGATTTTCAACCCAGAAACACCAACAGCACAAAGAGAAGAGATAACCAACCTTCTTTTGAAAGCTTCAGCCAACCATTCACTGCTGAAGTCTTTTTCTTAAGAAAGGAGGTTCTGTGCACCAGAGAGAAAGAAGAACTGAGATGTTTCAGGCCTAGGATGAACCAGTTTTCTCCATTGACAGCCCAGAAAAGAAAAGGAGAGAACTGAAGCACGAACTGAAGTTGTCACGAACTGAAGCAGGTCACGAACCTTGCTCTGATACCATGTTTCGACTGCTGCTACAGTAGTCCGAACCAGTAAGGAGAAGAAAGAGAAGGATAAGAAGAAGAAGAGAAGAAGAAGAAGATGATGAAAGAACTGTCGAACCTGATAGACTAAACCCTATCAGTCGACCACTTAATAGTGATTAGGCTCTAATTAATTGTACAAAGACTAAACTGCCCCCACTTAAGTATGGGACAGAGAGTCTCTAATAAGACTGCCACATAAGCACATAACTTAACAAAGGTGAGTTGACTAATCTACCCTTATTCGGCTAACTCTAACAGGCATATATGTAAATGAACTGGCATGAGATCCAAGACAAATTGACACCTTTCATTTTCTTCTTTTTCCTTTCACGATTCTTCTTCTACTTTCTCTTCCTTTGCTCTTATTTTTCTTTCATAGTTAGCCACCGTAATCATCTAGAACTACAAATACGTAGATGGTTGGACCAAAAGCAACATCTTACATGGATAAACTACTATGAGAAAAGAAAAAAAAAAAAGAGGGAAAAAAAAAAAAAACAAGACCTTACCTTGCCTTCTTCATCTGGTCAGATACAGCTTTGTAGGCATATTTCCACCAAGAACTAGGATTTGATTTTACAGGAACAAGCGGACGATAATGAGCATATCTCAGGCGCTGATTGAAAGCAGCAAAATTATCAGCCAGTTTCAAGATATCCCTATATCCATCCTGCACCAAGAAACCTACAGCTTATTAAAGATCAATGACAAAGCCCCACCATAGAACTCATGACAGATAGATATTAAGAAGAACCTTTGATAAACAGAGCGTAACATCATCCAAGTTAATAGCTGCTTTCTGCAGAGGTTCGACCATACTTGATGCTTCCTCTTGCTGCAGCTTAGAGTACTTTGCATTGCCCGTCACAGGTTCCAAAATATAACTATGATCTTTTGTAAGAGCATTAGTTGGTTTTCCATTCTTAGTACCAAATTCAAAGACCTGAAGCTCATTGAAGTTGACCGAAGTTACAATTTAATCCCACTTACTATGAATAAAAGATGGAAATGGCTATAGCACCGGACTGAGAATTGCATACCTGACTCCATTCTGATGGAAGCATTTCTTCCCATGGTTTGTCAACTTGCCATGGGCATATATCAGAATCAAAGTAAAGAGACAGGCTATCAAGTTCCACTGACTGTAAGTAAAATTATCATGAGCATTCATACATGTGGTCACAAAAAATAAACTTAAGAACTTCTTATGCAATATTTTTATTTAAGTGGACAATTTTACTAAAATGAAAAAAGGGAAAAAGTAAATAACATAAGCCAAAGCCAAAGAAAATATAACTGAGGAATTAAAGAAGAGAACAGCACAAAAAAGAAGACTAGCTCTGCAAAGAAGATTAACAATACCGCAAAACACTCTACAACTTCCACTTAAAAAAAAAAAAAGGATGCAACGGATACTATCCAAAAGAAACAAAAACAAAACAACTCCAAAAAGGCCTATACTGCAAAAACAGGGAACCCACCAGCAACAACATACTCAACCACCTGAGTGGAATTTAGTAGACCCTCTCAAGAGTTTTGTCTATTTACTGCCTCAGATGCCTCATTTTCCAAAACATCCTATTGTGGCATTCCATTGTTTTCCCCTACCACCCCCTTCTCTCTAGTAATTTAGTATACCCTCTCAAGAGTTTTGTCAACTTACTGCCTCAGATGCCTCATTTTCCAGCTTTTGACTCCTCCCTCTAACAATTCTTGTTTCCACCAAATCTCAACTATAAAGTTTCTGCACCTCCATAATCACATCATCAGAAATCACATAATCATTGTTCAGTAAATGATTCATCACTTGCAGCATCTTTCTTTTTTCCCATCTGTCTAGATCAACAAAATCCTCACCATCTAAAGAAAAAAAAATAAACCTAGAAATCTAACTATGTGAACCTCCTATGCTACTGTTTAAGTGGTAAAAATGCACCTTGATCAAATGGGAGAAGGGAAACCATCATAAAGGTGGTCACCATCTCTACCAAACTCTCCACACCTTGGATTGACAAAGCATGCCAACCAAAATGGATGGTGAAAACCCCAAAGCAAAACACACTCCCTTCTGAAGTCTACTTGTATGCAGATCAAGATCCCACTTCCAAAACTGTTAGACAATGTATGCCCTCAGCTCCAATTGATGTAATGCATATTGACTTTATTTTGAATAAAAGATCATATATTTCATGTCTCATGGGTGTGTTCTGCTAATTATGTCCGAAACTGCATGGTTGTATCAATATGGACTTAAATGCTCACCGGTTGATAAACCCAGAGAGTTTATCCTGACAAGGTTGATTCATTTCTCTCCCTTGATTTCTTTCTCTTAAATTTTTTTGCCACTCATGGTCAATGCTTGTTTATTCATTTCAGTTATTTCACATCCATCTTGAAGGAGTTTAAGATAGTTCAATGGACTATCATGAGGAACTCATTCCATAATCATTGAACATGTAGAATCCTTGTACAACCTCTTTATCTATTTAAACATATAAAAAATAGAAAATAACTAACCAACGGACAATCAGGATCATTTCACCCAAGTCTACAACATATGAGACAGTAATTACCTTTTGAATACGCTCTAGTGCACCTCCAGTAATGAATGTTTCTGTCCCAGTATCATCAACAGTCACAGCCAAAAGTTTTGCCAGTGTCACACCAGATGCAAAAGGATGGCCAGGGTTGCTACATTTGGCAACCGTGAAGCTTCAGTACATGTTGAAAACTAAAAAAAAAAAATGCCTAAAGTTCTTTACCTCTCAAGATCTTCATATCTAATGTGGATATTTGTAATTGAGAGCTTCAAGTTTCCAATAATTGTGTTGATCAAGGATCCAAGCCATGATTTATTCTTTAGCAGCAAGAAAAAACCAAATAAATAAAAAGATAAAACCATGAGAGCTGCAAATTATTTAGAATAAACAAAAAATCAAGAAGGTCTGACTTCCATAAAATCATAACAGCTTATTAATTGAATAGAAAAAGAATCCAATTCCAATAAATTTATCACAAAAAAAAAAGCTCCCCAGAAAAGAACCATTTTCACCAGTATAATGCGGGAAGAACAAATGAAGTAGTATCAAGTAGAAGATATTAGGGAACTGAATTTCAGTACCATACACTAGCAAAGTGTTTCCCTAAGAATTTTTTGGAAGCACAGAATTTGTGAGCATAAATAAAAAAATGGTGTGGAACTATAATGCAGCTCAAAAGTAAAATGTAATAAAAACAATAGTATACAAGTAGCAGATAGTCATAAAAATAGTAATAGCAAGTTGCAGTTCAAGAATGAAAGAAATGATACAATACAGAGCAAATATGGTTGCACTAAATAAATGGCGATCTAAAGTGATGACATGTGGAATCAGTATAAAAGAATGTAACATTTTTACTATATATATAGTGTTGATACTTGCCTAGGGATGAAGAGAGATCAAATGTTCTGGACACAGTTGTAAGAATAAAAACAGGGGAAGGGGGGAGATAGGGGTCTTATCTCTATTTGACTGCATGTAATATGTGCACGTTGCTGTTTCATAACTAGTAAATATTTTTTCAGAGAAGGTAAAGTATAGTATTGATATTAAAAGGAAAAAAAGCATCATGTTGTTGCTGATAAAAAAAATACCATTTCTGATTTTAGCTGATGCTGACTCTCCAATAGCTTCATCTCCAATTCCTATTGCAAGGATAAATAGCAAGTCTCTTATTTAACCATCTACAATTGAATACATGTCAATCTATACAATGCAAGCCAGTATCTTACTCGTATTTTATTCTTCTTAGCTTCTTGTACAGAATCCTCACTACATCCCTGAACCTGAGTTGCAGGCTCAGCCAATATGAATATACGATCTAGGTAGACCAAAACTGGCTCTTGACCTAGCCTACTCCAAGGAACCTGAAATTGAGAAATGGTAAGAAAAAATACCCAAGTTTCACTTTAGCTTTCAGAAATATATTAATAATGTAAATAAACAATGCCTCAGATTAGAGAGACCCAACAGTCATACCTTAAGCTACTTGCATACTTGTCACAAATATCAAATTTTAATCCTTAAGAGGCAAAATCATAATTTATAATACAACAAATATGTAATTTTCATTTATTGGTCATAGCTGACCATCAGAGCTTTTATTAATAGTAGAAAAGAAAAAAACAATAATCTGATTTGATAACAGTGAGAAAGAAGAGAGAAAGAGAGAGAGATCTTAGTGAGAAGAGAAAAAGAGATTGTGAGAAGCCAATAATGATCTAGCTGCCCCACTCATTATCTTATATACTCATATAAAAGATTGATTACAAAGATTAAAATGCCCTTAATGGGGTGGATACTGTTCATAACATAAAAACAGCTCAAAAAAACAACATTAACTAATGGGCCTTGGGCACAATAACACTAACTAACGACCCAATAATACTAACAAATGATTATAAACAAGAAAATCATAAGAAACTGCTGAATCTCAACACTCCCCCTCAAATTGGGAGTAGATGTCACACATTCTCAACTTGCGTAAATCATGTACAAGTTTATTTCTTGCAACTCCTTTTGTGAGAACATCAGCTAGCCGTAAATCAGATGCAACATATGGTAGGCATATTTCTCTGGATGTCACCCTTTCTCTTATGAAATATTTGTCCACCTCTTTATGATTTGTTCCATCATGCTGAACTAGGTTATGAGCAATGTTGCTGCTTGATTATTACAATACAACATCATAGGTTCTTTTGCATCAACTCCAATCTCTTCTAATAAGGTCCGTGTTGTGGGACTTATCAATATGGGCTTCGACCCATTTAAGTTATAACTTTCCTATTTCTTGTTGGGTTGTACTGCTATTAGGTGTTAATGGGCTTGGGCCTTTTTTATTTTAAGTTACATGTGTGTGCCACCCTATTTTTCTTCAAGAATCTAAATACAAACATGGTATCAGAGCAATAACATACTCTTATACTGCTCGCCTACCTTCTTCACCTCCTCTTTCTTCTTAAGTTTTCTTTTTTATTGTTGGAGTAACAAGAAGGAGCTCTACTGCTGTTCATGGTTAGATGAAACTGCTTCTAGGGTTCTTTACTTGGAAAAAAAAACTCCAATGAGGCCCAGAATAGTTGTTGATATGCCCAGGTAGGGCAAGAAACTGTGGAGTAGTCATATGGACTACTATAGAGACCTAGTTAACAAGTCTAGCTGCTAGACTGCAAGTAGTATCAATCCAAGAGATCCGTGTACACTCTAGCCCAGCTTATTTTTGGAGTTTGAGCAAGGGGAAGTGTTGTTTGACCTGTTATACTAATTAAATATCAGTTTTGAGTGAGTTCATGATGTCTTCCAGCACAAGTGAAGTCTCATCTAGAGGTTCTAGGACTGTAGACAAAGTTACTTAAAAATGTGTCTGTTGAAAGTCTATTTTGTGATGTGTGCTCGTTGGCAAAACATTGTAAGGCAAACTATCCAAGTTCTATCGGTAATGTCACTACCTTTCCTTTTTATTTAGTTCACTCTTATGTGTGGGGTCCTTCACCCATTGTTTCTATGGATGGCTATTGCTATTTTATCAGTTTCATTGATCACTTCTCAAGGTGTACATGGGTTTATCTTATGAAAGAACATGAAGAAGTTCAGGGTCTTATGGAGGTGTGTTAGGGCTGCTTTACTTTGGACAGTTTGGGACAAAAGGAATAACAAATTTTTTAATGGTAAAGAGAGAGGGATGAGGATTTTGTGTGGAAATGTTTACTGTTTAGGGCTATTAGCTAGGCTAAAGCTTTGGACCTTTGTCACTTTTCTCCTTTGATGACATACGAAGAAATTAGGAATTAGTTGCTAAAGCTTCTTCGGTCAAGGACAAACCTATTATAACCTAGAAGCCTCCGGAAGAAAGCTTCACAAAACTAAACTTTGATGGAAGCAGCCTCAGTAATCCTGGGCCCTCTGGGATTGGGGGAGTATTCAGAAATAGAGGGCCAGATAGTGGCTTTATTCTCCAGTCCAATTGGAGTGGGAGATGCGGTAGTGCAGAGGTCCAAGCTGTTTTATAGGGGCTCAAATCGCTAAAGAGATGAACATAAGAAATCTGATCATAGAAGGTGAGTCTAAAGTGGTAATAGGGTGGCTGAAAGAACCGGAGACAGCAGCTTGGCCTTTCAGGGGAGCATTGAGAAGATTCAAATAGCTAACTTCTACTATAACAATCAGAGATCAGCAAATGGGCCAGCATACCTACTAGCTAGAGAAGGGATGAATAAGGGTCAATTATTCTGGGTTACACTGTAATTTATATTTGTTTTGAGGCTGCATCTCACGGCTCTTGGGAAAACTAAATGCTGTATCAGCTGTAAAACCATCTTAAAAACCTAGATCAAAGCACTTGTATCCCTTTTGTATGGAGGAATAACCTAGAAAGACCCCCCAAATCACCCTCGGGTCCAACTTGTTCATTTTGAATCCTTAACATGAATGAAACAGACACAACCAAAGACTTTTGGTGGTAAAGAGAACATAGGATCATTAGGACAAAGAATAGAGAAAGGAGTTTTCAACCCAACCCTTGTACACCCATTCTCCCTTTCCTCTCTCTCAACCCGAAGAACAAAAACAAGAGAAAAACTCTACTCTTACAACAAGAAAAAGAGTAAACTTCTTTCTCACTTATCTAAAAACCTTAACCCTATGTACAAAAGAAACCTTTTATACGTAAAACCCTCTTTAACCTAAAGAAAGACCACACCAACCATTAGATTAGAAACAATTCAGCAGTTGAAAAATAAGACACAACCCTAACAACCACGAACTGGATGGCATCCTATTTATCAAGTATGATGCAGTAAACACTTCATGAGACCAATACTTCTTGGGAACCTTGTGCTGGAATAATAAAGCACGAGTTGTCTCTATAAGATGTCTGTTTTTCCTCTTTGCTACCCCATATCCAATTATGTTTATATATCTCACCTTTCTGCTTCCTATCGCCAGTTCATTACCTTGTTGTCTTTTGTATCCATACCTAAGGATGTTCAGGAGGCTCTTACCTCACCAGGGTGGCAAAAAGCTATGGAAGAGGAACTCTCTACCCTTCATCACAATCATACATGGGAACTCACCAATCTTCCCCCAAGTAAGCATGTTGTTGGTTGTAAATGAGTGTATGTTGTTAAGTATCTACCAGATGGGAGAGTGGAATGCCTAAAAGCCCATTTAGTTGCAAAAGGGTACTCTCAACTTTATGGTGTAGACTATGTCAAAATCTTTTCTCCAGTTGCAAAGATTGGCTCCTTACGTTGTTGATTTCCTTAGCTGTCATGCATGATTGGCCTCTATTTCAGCTTGATATTAAAAATGCCTTTCTCCATGGTGATCTTCTAGAGGAGGTGTACATGGAGCAACCACCAGGGTTTGTTGCTTAAGGGGATGATGGTAAGGTGTGTAAGCTCAAGAAGGTGATTTATGGGATCAAACAGTCTCCCCGTGCTTGGTTTGGCAAATTTAGTGAGGTGGTGAAGGAGTTTGGAATGAGACAATGTCAAGTTGATCATTCAATATTTAGCTATGACTCTGTGGCCGGGAAGATCTTGCTAGTAGTTTATGTGGATGATATAGTCATAATTGGCAGTGGTAGAGTTGGGATTAATAGATTGAAGACTTTCCTAGAAGATCACTTTTAGACAAAAAATCTTGGGAAGTTGAAGTATTTCCTGGGTATAGAAGTTGCTAGATCAAAGCAAGGCATAAACCTTTGTCAACGGAAATATGTCCTTGACCTATTGGAAGAAACAGGGTTACTAGGTGCTAAACCAGCTGAGACTCCCATGGAACTGAATGTGAAGTTGGGGAGTGACACAGGTGAATTGTTTGATAACCCTGGAAGGGCCTGATATCTAATTTGTTGTCAGCGTGGTAAGCCGGTTTATGCAAAGTCCTCGGGTACCTAAGTGGGATGCAGTTCTTAGAATTGTACGGTATTTGAAGGGGGCTCCAGGTTGTGGGTTACTATACAAGCCAAGAGGTGATCTTGAAATAGTTGGATACATCGACGCAAACTGGGCTAGATCTGTATCAGACAAAAGATCCACTACAGGTTATTGCACCTTTCTTGGAGGAAATCTTGTGACATAGAAGAGCAAGAAGCAAACTGTGGTAGCAAGGAGTAGTGCAGAAGCAGAATATAAGGCCATGGCACACACTACATGTGAACTAGTGTGGTTGAACAATCAGGTTGCAATTCACATCTCATCCAACCTAATTTTCCATGAGAGAACTAAACACATAGAGGTAGATTGTCACTTTGTAAGGGAAAAGGTCATCAATGGCGTGATAAGGACAGAGCATATGAGAACAAGTGATCAATGGGCAAATCTGTTCAAAAAAGGGTTGAGTTCAGGAAGAGTGAGCTACATATGTAAGAAGCTGGGATTATATGATATATATTCTCCAGCTTGAGGGGGAGTGTTAGAGTTGACTAAACAGGGGCATTTCAGTCTTTTCCATATCAGTAATGTATTAGTTATATGCCTTCTGTCTAGACAGGGGCATTTTTGTCTTTATATACTTATTCACCAAGTTTAATATATGGTTGACTGGGTTAGACGGTCGGTCTTCTCAGTTCGACACTATTCTCCTTTCTCTCCTCTCTCTCTTCTTTCTCTCTCTTCTCAGTTCGGCTGAATACTAACACACTTTTTTTATTGAATAAAAAAAGAAAAAAATTCTGTTTTCAAATTTCTGGTCGGGCTCAAGCTCGGGCCTGAATGTATTCTGTTGATACATAGACAAAGCCCGGCCCATGAACAGGTCTACTCATGTTGTAACCTTATTTGGTGTAGAGGAAGCTTGAAGTAGACTTCTACCATCTGCTCTTAGCTCTTTCAGTGCTTTTTTTCCCCTCTTATATGCATCTTATATACTCTAATGATTTTTTCTTTCAATATCAATCAAGAGAACAATTCAACTTATTGGATCATCATATAAACATCTAAATCCTAGATTATGGGAGACGAAGAGTCATATCCACATTTTATGTATCAATATCCATGTTAGTTTCCCAAAGCAATAAAAAAAAATATCCATCTTAGTTTCAATTTCAACATCTTAGGTTGGAATCACAAACCTTAAGTCTAACCGATCCAAGAAAGCCTGCCTTGACTTTAACAGGCAACTTCAATGCATTAAGTGCTTCTGGCTTCAATTGCATATTTGTTAGTTCCACATCACCTGCAATGTTTTAAGCAGTAAGAACCAATGTGAACAACTAAAGATTGAAACATTTCAAATAATAAAATTATAATTTACTGTTGTCCATCAACATACTAGTGCAAGATTTCAAGATAAGTTTAAAAACCTAGCCAGACATCAACCCAAAAAGAGGGCCTGGTGGCAGGTTTGGTGGTTCAACCAGGTGGTTTGATTGGTGAAACTATCAAAACCATCAAGAATTCAGAACCTGGTAAACTATCCATAGGGCAGCAAATGGATCAGATCCAATCAGATACTCCTAAATTTTTACATTTACTGTTAAAATTTTATTATTTGTAAAAAAAATAAGTAAAATACATTGTGCAAATCCTAGCAATTTGAAACCTTCATTAGGTGGTTGCCCCAAAAAGAATTGATCCATCCACCCCATGTATCCAAGAAATTTGTTGATCTTTGAACCCAACTGAAAGAGATTCCTAATTTACTGCTGGTCATGGTTAACTGAAGCTGTTTCTAGGGTTCTTTCCTTAGAAAAAACTCCAATGAGGCCCAGAATAGTTGCTGATATGCCCAGGTAGGGCAAGAAACTATTGAGTAGTCGTATGGACTATTAGAGAGACCTAGTTAACAAGTCTAGTTGCTAGACTGCAAGTAGTATCAATCCAGGAGATCCGTTTACACTCTAGCCCAGCTTATTTTTGGAGTTTGAGCAAGGGGAAGTGTTGTTTGACCTGTTATACTAATTAAATATCAGTTTTTAGTGAGTTCACGATGTCTTCCGATAGATGAAGTAAGAGTAGTGTGGTATGTAGAAGCATGGTTATTTGAATGTGCAAAAAATGTGGAAGTAGGGACACCTTCAATGGTTGTGCTTCAAGATGAGTAATAATTCAACTAAACCAGACCATCCCCCTTTAGCTTGAACCAATAAGTCAGCTGACAGTCCAGGAATGGATTAGTTACTAGAATTTCCAATAGGTTTAGATCTATCTAGATCTCCAGTAGAAGCAGCAACATTTTCATTTGACTTTTGTTACGGGTTATCCTTCTTGAATCAAGGAGGAAATTCCATGCAACTTGGAGCAATTTTCCAAGTATGTCGGGGCTTTTTGCAATAATCAAAGACCATGTTATCTTTATCTTCCCCACTATTATTAGCGTTCTTAATGTTGGCTTTATTTTTAGAGTCAGTCGAAGATACGAAGGCAGAACCATCAATAGTAAGCTGCATGCCAAATGAGTCATCTAAACCAAGCACCGCCACATTCTGTAATTGCCATACAAACTCATGGTAAAGAAAACAAACAGTAGAACCTACTGAAGTTACTATACCAACTGTGTGAGACAAATGAAATCGGTTTGGACTTTGGAATTGATTATTGCCTAGAAGAACTGGTTAACTCACTCTTGTTTTTCTAAAATAAGTAAGCTTCAGTGCTTGATTGAATTATCGTGTCAATTCATCTTTCGAATACTCCCAACACAAAACGAAGTTCAAAATCCTCTTTTTTATGTCAAATGATATTGACAAAACGAACTGATCAACTAAGCAAATTTTACGAGCTTAAAGAAAGACCTATGCATAGAATTGATGGAGAGGGAAAGAAAACATATGTAACAAGAGAAATGGAGATCGAACCTCGCCAAACGCTGATCTTCAGAGCTTCTTTGCTTAGACCTTGCACATAATTGCCAAGGTATTTCTGCAACAAGAATGCGACCTGATCCTCCAACATCCTTCTTCAGTTGGATCGAACTTTTTCCGTGATCGAAGAAGAACACCGATGGAAAGAGGAAAAGAGGGAAATGTCTCGACTCTCAATTTCTCGTTTGCAGAGAAAGCAGGATAAGTTTCCAAGAGAGAAGGGTAGAGGAGGGAGTTTCTCCGTTCAACAGCCACGTCTCAGTCCCAGTCCCAGAACACGTTATTCCGTCTCGGTCGAAAGATTTTTTTTTTTCTTTTTTTTTTTTGGTAATTGTCGAGAGAAATAGAAGATTCAAGCATTCAAGTATTCGACATGTAGAAAAAAGAAACCCATCGATTTTAAGAGAATTGCGAGGTCGTCATTTCCAACTGTTTTTAGACAAATCTTTATTGTTGAGAAAGGAATAGCAACCGGTCAACGCAACGGCTTAGGATGCGTTTAGTTCTTGTTTTTTTTTCCGAGCATTAACAAAGGGTATCCACCTGGTCTATTAGCTATTTTAATGATCAAATCAAACCCTGAGGCCGAAAAATAGCATTTGGTCGGGGTTGTTTTCGTGAATTAATATTTTAAGGGAGAAAGACTGATCAGTCCAGTCAGAATTTTTTAGTCCTATCCTACAGAGAGATGAATCCTGACTGTGAATTGATGACAAATTCATAAATAAGATGTGGTGTACAGGTGGCTATTATTAGATTATGGGGGATTGTAATTCAGAATTCTTACATAACATCCAAACTGATCACAGCGAATCGAGTGTGGTACATTTTCTTTATCTTTATCCACAAGCTACCCCTACCTTTTTCTTCTAGGACACTGCAGCTATAAAACGCAGAATTCTGAAATTATAACTCCCCATACTCTATTAGTAGCCCTCCTATAAAACGCATACTATTCATGGATTTGGTATCATAGGATTCATCCCACCTGTACAGTGGGGCTAAGAATTTTGAGGTGGGTTGAACAGTCATTCTCCATTTTTTTTCTTCTTTCAAAATTGTAAAGCCAAATACAAGAAATTAAAAAAAAAAATGCAGGGTTATTACCTTAAAGGGTAGATTACCACCTGTATTTTGGGATAGTGGTAATTTCATTATAGAGAAAGCCTCCTTGCAATAGCATTCGTCAGTTACATTACATGTGACCCTTGAAACTTTTTTAAATCCCCAAATTACCTATTTTTAATGGCAATTTAGGCATTTTTTCGATTTTCATTTGTTATAAATTTAATTGATATTAATTGCATGTTGCATTTGTTATAATTCTAGGTTTCTTTATAAGTTTTTTGGTTTATTTGTTGCAATTTTTATTTATAGAAGGTTTTCACATGGGTATTTTGGTAAATTAACGTCTTATCAACTTTGAATGTTCATTTTTACCTTTTTTTTCTTTTTTAGGGTCTGTTTGGTTTACAAATGTACAACTCCCTATCATTTGTCTTTTTCTTTAGCAAGCTAGGATGAGATTCTCATTCCCAATACCAATAGGAGGAGTTCGGCTTCGATCAGTGTAAGCCCAGGCTTACACCATGCGAACAGCCTCTTGCAACCTTGAATTGAGAATATCTCCCCATGAAATACACAGAGATATTCCCAATGCAAGGCTGTAAAGGTTGTTCAAACATGCATTGCACTGATCAAAGCCGAACTCCAATAGGGGAGGTCAGAATGGCCAATACCTCAAATGAGAGAATGCCATGGGAACAAGAATCCCATTATGCCTAACCAAATGGGTAGAACTGGAATGCGCCATTCCAATTCTGATTCTACACCACCCCTTTCCCCATAACCAAACAGACCCTACTTTTGAATTTCTATATATTTATTTGCATCTTTTGCCTTTAGAAGTGATTTCCTCATTAAGTCTGAAAAGACCACTTTTCTTCTCATTAAGTCTCATATTTAAATTTAAAGTATTAATTCCCATTAACATTCATTGAATCCCAATCTTGACTAGAATATCCTATTTTTTAAGTTTCCCTAATTGTGACCACACAAAATGTAATATGAACTACTACATTTCTCTTCATTCAATTCCCTCTCATTAATTCTTATCTTAGGGTATTAACTCCCATTCTTTTATTGAATCCAATATTTAAGATATTATTTTCATAAAATAAAAACAAATAAATTATATCAATTAGGTCTACATCTAATAATTTTTAATTAAAATACATGTTTTATAAATTTCCCCAAAAATGGAACCACTTTCCATCACGGTGGCAAGTAAGCAATTCAACCATCTGGGCCAAGTAGACTAATTCATGATGTCATCGTTAAATGATAAACTTTTAAAATATAAATAATATATATCATATTAAAGAAAAAATAAGTGTGATAAAAAATAATTATTCTTATTGATATTGGAATGAAATATAAATTTAAAATCGATAAAAAAAATAAAAATTATTTTTATGGTGGTGGGTCAATGATTCAACCTTTTGAATCAAATGTGTCAACCTTTGATATCATAATTAAATAAAAAGATAAAAATATAAAAACACAAAAATATTATATAATAATACAAAAAAAATGTAAATAACATTTAGGCACTTATCTATTTCATATTAATCATAAAAAATAATAGTTGCTTAATTAATGAAATAAAATTTAAATTTAAAACCAACCCAAAAATGAAATTGTTTACCAAGTGGTGGGTCAATAGTTCAACCTTTCGGGTCGTATGTGTTAACCATTGATTTCATAATTAAATAATAAAAATATAAAAAATATGAAAAAGAAACTCTATAGAAAAACATTTGGACACATCTATAATATTTTATATTAATCATCTTAAAAATTAGACACGATAAACAATAACTAATTTTAACTTTTTATTAATGAAATAAATAAAATAAAAATATTCAAAAATAACCCAAAAGTGAAATTATTTTCTTATTTGGTGGTAGATCAATTCAACATTTTATGTCAAATGTGTCAACTCATGAAGCTATAATTAAATTATTAAATTTTGAAAAGATAAAAAACACAAAATGTGCAAATATATATATATATATATATATATATATATATATATATATATATATATATATATATATATTATGTAGAAAACACTTGGACACATCTCTATATTAATGAACCAAAATAAGTGTGGCAAATAAGAATATTTTTTATAGATATTGAAATATAACAAGTTATAGACAATTTTGAAAACATATTATATACTATCATCATTGTCATCATAAAATTTGGCACATGCAAACCGCATATACACATAATAGTTTTTACTAAAGGCTCCAAAGGGTTCTCTAGAAATTCATGGACCTTTTGCATAAATAAGAAATTTGCTTAAGGCAACTAATAAATGCAAGAAAAAGTTGTTTCTTCACCTCCAAGATATTTCCTTAAAAAATTCAAATTATTGAACATGAGACTTTAGCCATAGAGAATCACCTTTTGTCTATATGGGTGCCAACCTCTAAAGGTAGATTGAAATCCATCCATTTCTCGGGGCTGATAGAAAAGATTTACTCCAAATTAGCTGAGTGGAAAAGCAAATGCTTATTAGCCAGGGGTAAGCTTGTTTTGATTAGGCATGTGCTTAGTAGTGTACCAATACATCTTGTGACAACTATAGCTACACTGAAGGGTGTTCTTTGTAGAATTGAAATGTTTTTTTTTTTTTAACTTTCTATGGTTGAATGGGCATTAGGAGAAGCACCACCACCAGTCCTCTTGGAGAAAAAAAGTTGTAGGAGGTTCATCACTCTCTAAGGTTAAAACCTCTTTCAAGGATTCCTTGTGGTTGAAATTTTTCAAATCCACTAGTAAGCATGCACGTGCTTTACACGTGTCAATTCTAGATGATGATGATGATGATGATGATGATGATGATGATGATGATGATAATAATAATAATAATAATAATATATTCAATTTTTTTTATAAATTTTATGTATTTTTAATTTTTTTTCTTTTATATTTTATATTTTTTATTATTAATGAGATGTAGATTGCAAAATAAAAAATCTGAATACATAACATCCAAATATGTGATAATTGAATCGAGGTGTAAAGTTTTAAGTATCCTTAACATGCCTACCTACTTGTCTAGACTCTTCTTTTTGTAGTGTTTTCTCTTTTTTTTGTGTATCTTTTTTCCTTTGTTCGTTTATCAAAAAATTGTAAGATTTAAGTAGAAGGAATTCAATGAGGTGAAAAGTAATAGTCCAATTTACAATTTAAACATTACAATTAAATAGGAATTAAACTCAATGAATATTTTAGTCAAAAGAAAGTTCCACAATTTTATATCGGATCTAGTATCCAATTGGATCATATTATCCGACCCGATCCAATTCGAAGATATGAACTTGGGATATCTGAATTCGACAAAAATGATCGGATCGGATCATGATCTAATCCATTTGCACCCCTACTGCTTGGCTAGATTCTTCATTTTGTAATGTTTTATTTTTTGTGTATCTTTTCTTGTTCATTTATTTACCAAAAAAATGTAAGATTTAAGATAGAGTGAATTGAATGTGGTGAAAAGTAGTAGTTTAATTTATAATTTAAACCTCACAATTAAATAGGGACTAAATTCAAAAATGAGTATTTTAGTTAAAAGAAAATTCCATAATCTTATTCATATTTTTAATTGTAGTGTAAATATAGAATTATAGATGTGCTCAATTTTTACTATAGTTTTTTTTTTGTACTTTTGTGTGTAAAACTAATTATGGTATTTTACACATACTTTTTGTTTAATACGATAAATATATGATAGTATACATGTGTCCGAATGTTTTTTTTTTTTGCAAGATGTATGCATTTTTTTTTGTATTTTATTATTTATTTATGACGTTAAAGTTTAATACATTTAACCCAAAAGTCGAACCATTTATTATTAATTTTTATATTTCATTTTGGCTAGTTCTAAATTATGTATTTCATTTTCATTATCAATAAAAATAATTATTGTTTATTACACTTATTTTTTAATTTGATTACACTAATGTGTCTACTTTTTCTACAATTTTTGTAATTTTCTATATTTATTTCTATTTTAAAAATTTTATTACCTAACTATGACTTTGTAGATTGACCAATTTAATTCGAATGATTGAAATGCTTAACCACCACTTAGATAAAGAATGGTATTATTTTTGAGTCAATTTTAAAATACATGGATTTATACTATCAAAAATATTGACATAGATCTAATTGTTAGCATTTATTAGTGAAAAAGAACTTAAAAATATAGGATTTAATAAGAGAAAATGGGAGTCCACACTACATTCACATTTTTAAATACTAGTAAGTGTCACATGCTTTGCACATGGCAAATCTAGACGATAATAATAATAATAATAATAATAATAATAATAATAATAATAATAACATATCCATAATTTTCTACAAATTTTATATTTTTTTGTTTTTCGCTTTAATATTTCTTGCTTTAT